GGCTCCATTCTGGGACCTGATTCTGGGACTTGTGAGCAAAAGGTGGCCCACTGAGAACCAGGAATCTCTGACACCTTCTAAGACCCACCAGGTCCATGGGTCACAAGTTTTGTAAGACCCTCTGATTGAGGTCAGGTGTCTCTAGCATTTGCCAAGCCTCTGACTTCCCCCAGCCCTGGTCTGGATACTTCTCTCGCCAAGCCAGGCTCTGGACCACTGGTTGGGCAACACATGACCTCAGACTGGGTCAGACCCATCAGGTGAGCACCATTTAAGAGTAGAGGACATTTTGTTCTTTACAATCCCAAGAAACAGCGTGTGAACCCGCCCGCCCCTCTCTTCCATTTACTTATTTTGTAACTTTGGGTGAGTTCCTTCACCTCTGAATTCCTGGCTTCCCATCCATCAAATGTAGACTAACAGGTGCCCTCACCTCGAAGAGTGGCAGGGAGACCAGGTGATGAGTGTCAAAGGCATGGCACCCATGTGGGCAGGTGCCCAATAAGGGGAGTGATTACTGCAAACAGGCAGTAGGCACCAAATAAAAAACAGTACAGCATGTGCTGGGTTACATCCCAGCACCACAGAAAACAAAAACTAAACCAAACATCATGGGCTGCGTGCTACAGTGCTCGAGAGCACAGACGTGGGAGCCCAACCACCTGGCTTCAAAACCAGGTTTCTCTACCACCTGGTTACCTGTAGCCACAGTTTCATTCCTGTGACGTGGGAATAATCAGTCAATTAGAAAGTGCCTGACACCTAGTAATGTCTACTAAGCATTGTCTATTACACATCAGTAAGGGCAGGCATGGAGTTGAAATCACACAGCTAAGGGGTTTGGCAGGATTCACAGGAAACTTGTATTTATCGAGCACCTACTGTGCTGCTAAATCTAGTGCTGCCAGAAACCACACACCCTCACACGTGTCTATGCTCGTGCATACACACACATGCATGCGTGCACACAGGCTCAGAGTAAAATAGGCAACTTGGTTTTCATTTTTCGAAACCTTTATATTATAAAACAAAACAGATGCAACAAACCAAGCAAATTTAATTTGTACCTTACAGAATAATTTCAAAACAAACACTGTTAACCTCCACCCAGGTCAAGAAATAGAACTTTCCAGCTTCTCCAGGAGCCTCTCCAAGTCCCCCTTCCTGATTCCAGCCTTCCCCAAACCACGAGCTTTTATGGTAATCATTTCCTTACACTTCTTTTAAAAACATTTTTATTAGTATGTATTAGTTGTACAGAGGGTTTGTTGCGACATTTCCATATATGTGTGCAGTGTACCCCAGTTTGGTTCATCCCCTCCATTACTTTCTCTCCTCCCCCTCCTCTCTTTACACTTCCTCATGGCTCAAGCATCTTAGTGGTCATTCCTAGACGTTCTTGTTTTGTCTTTTCCTCTCTCCCTCTGTCCCTTCCTTCCTTCCTTCCTCCCCTTCTTTCTTTCATAGTGCTAGGAATGAAACCCAGGGCCTGGCGCATGGTAGGCCAGTACTCTATCACTGAGCCACAACCCCCCAGCTCTTGCCTTCTCCATTTTTAAAACATAATATGGCTTTTTTTTATACAGCGTCTTGATATGTAATCAAGGCTGGTCTTAAACTCATGATCCTCCTGTCTTAGTCTCCTGGGTGCTGGAATTATAGGTGTGAACCATCATGCCTAGCTTGATATGACTTTTAAACCTCTCTTAATTTATAGGTTCCCCTCTTCCTTGGGGTTTATCTGTTGAAGAATTCAGGCCGCTTGATTAGTAGAGTTTCTCAAAGTCTGGATTTTGTACATTGAATCCTCATAGCATGGCACTCTGCTCTCTGCTCTTCCTGTCAAATAGCAACTACATCAGTCCCAGGCTCCATCCTTAGGCATGATTGTACATGGTGCTGGATTCTGTTTTGAGAACACATGCATACCCCTCTTGTTTCCTCGCCATTTTCAGAGGGTGATCATTTAGTGTTTTCCTGAAAATCATCACAAACTTGGGAATTTAAGTGTATTTGATAACTTTCAATCAATTGCAATTACCATCTTTGTTGCAGCTGAAATCGTCCCGTCTGCAGGTTAGCTTCTGAGTCCTTTTCATGGGACCCTAGTACAGTAATAGGTCCCTTGTTATCCGCTGTGAGAAGCTATTCCAGGCTTGTATATTTCCTGCTACAGATCTGGAATCTGCCATTTCTTCAAAAAGTTCTTTTTTTTTTTAATTGAACACGGCATTTCATAACTATTATCCAGGTGCAAGGTGTGCTCACTGCTGCTATGTTGGTCATTGCTTCCAGGCCTTTTTCATGCATAGAACTAGGTTTTAGATAGATATACATACATATACACACATTTTTTTCTCAAATAGTCTTAAATTCATACTGAATGCAAATACAGCACTGCAGAACTTTCACTTAACCTCTTCTATAGGTCCCTTCTTCGACACTTGGAATCTTTGATTTTAAAGGACACGGGGGCTAATAAAATGAAAAGATTCTATCTGTGTTGGTTTTAGTCCACTTTACACATACAAGTCTCAGAATAACGAGTAAAACTACCACCACTAGCCTCAGCTACTCAGGAGGCTGATACAAGAGGAGATGAAGTGGCTCAAGCAGTAAGAGCACCTGCTTAGCAAGCGTGAGGCCCTGAGTTCAAATCCCAGTGCTACCAGGAAAAAAAAAGAAGCTCACTTGAGCCTATGGGCAACAGTGAGAACCTGCCTCAGAAAAAAAGAAAGACGACTTCATTCTCCTGAAGTAGTCTGCACAGCCAATAAAGACACACACGTTTCCAAAATATATAAATAGATAAAAATAAAGACAGAGAAAGAGAGAGAGAGAGACAGAGACAGAGACAGAGACATTGGTTCTAAGAAATTGTCTGAGTTCAGTCATGTGCCCTAAAAACAGACATCTCAGGTATTTCCAGCCCCCTCCAGCACATACCCACTGTCAAGATCTCTTTCTTCAGAGACTGGGTGAAGCTAGGAGAGCAGAATGTTTGCAGCCTTCCACATAAGGATGCAGGGCAAGCTGCCCTCCAGCAATCTTTCTTTTCTGGAGTAGGGTGATCATGACCAACGGACATTTCATGTCACAATGTACCAGAAGGCTGCACAAGTCATTCCACTGAATGCTTTCAAAGGAGTCCCTAAACCAGGAGCACATCCTCATTTTACACATAGAGAAATGGATCATTTCAAGGGGTTGTTCCAAGTCTGTTTCTTCTGAGTGGCCAAGGCAGAAAAGAAGATAGAAGTTCAAATCCCTGCTCCAATGCATGCTTATCTTGTGACCATGGACATTTTTTTTGTCCTTCCCTGAGCCTGTTTTCCAACCTGGAAAGACAAAGATACAAGCAGCCTATATGACCTCTAAAGCAAAGTATAATTTGGTATAGTGATGTCATACTGACCTAAGTTCATATCCGGTTTGGATTTTAATGTCCTTTTCTATAAATGAGATGCCCTCCTAGTTGCAGTTGTAAGGCATAATTGATATCATACAAGCACAAGCACAGTGCCTGGCGTATACAATCGCTCAAAAAGTGGAAATTCTTTTTGTTGTCGTTGTGGTTGTTTATCTGAGATCATTCCCCCTTTGAGATAACTCAGTTCTCTAAAATGTGTCACTAAGAGGAACAAGAAATAGTGATCCTCAGACCAAGTTCTCCTGTTGGCAACATGGAGTACTGGGCTCCATGTGTCACCAGTAAACTGAGTCTGGATTGAGGAAAGGGATTTATCCCAATATCTAAGACTGCATGGTTAGGAGAAGACCATTACTTGCCCTTGCCATAAGAGCTGCCACTTGTGAGTGAGCACTTGCTATTTCTCTAGGTTAGGGAAAGGGTATTCTCTTATGAGTTATTTAATTAACTTTTTGCCCATGAGGAACTAGAAGCTTTGGGAATTTGAATGATTTAGCCAAGGTCACAAAACTGGGATTAAGGTTACCAGATTTTGGTAGGCTGAATAATGTCCTTATTCTAACCTGTGGGATTTGTGAATACCTTACTTCACATGGTAAAAGGGAAGTTGTAGATGTGATTAAGGATTTTGAAATGGGGAGATTATCCTGGCAGACCTAATGTAATCTAAGAGTCCTTATAAGAGAGAGGCAAGAGGATCAGTCAATAATAGCTGGGAAGCAAAAGGTCAAAGTGATCTGAGGAAGGCCTTGAACCTGAGAATGCAAGACTTGGCCTCTGCAAGGCGAAAAAGGCAAGAGAATGGATTTTCCTCGAGATCTCCAGAGAGAATTCAGCCTTGCCAGTGCCTCGATTGTAGACTTCTGGCCTGCAGCACTTTAAGAGAATAAATTTGTTTTATTTTAAGCCGCTAACTCTCAATAATTTGTTTTTTGTTTGTTTGCCTGCTTTGAGACAGGATCTCATTATATAGCCTAGGCTGTTTTATATATAGACCAGGTAAGGAGCTGGTACATTTTTTTCAAACTGCCACTGTCCGGAGGGAACTTCATGAATCCCAAAGCAAGAAACAGGTAATTATTGGATCAGGACTGAGAACAAGAATCGTATTATAGATGAAGAAACTGAGGCCCAGGAGGAACGAGGACCTGCCCACGGTCACTCAGATCGATGTACTCTGGGTGGGAATCTTCTCCTTGGAGCAGCGCATCCTGGTGGCAGCTGTGGCGGGAAAAATTCTGGAATGCTAAACTTGAAGTCTGAATTAGTCCTTTATTGCAGTGACTACGCTTATTCTTTCATGAAATGGGGGATTTGCAGAACTAGTAGGATTTAATGAGAAAATGGTTCTCGATGGCAGCTGCTTTCTCAGGGTCTCGGTTTCTCCCATCTATACACAGGGCTGAACAAACTGCTGGCGCTCCTGGTTCTTCCTAATTAGGCTGGGTTCCAGCGCACAAAATTCTCGCCGCCAGGTGGCGACAGACCAGCAGCAACGCGCTGAGCGTTGCGCATGCGCACTCCCAGGCGGGCCCCGCCTTCCCACGCCTCGCACGTCACTTCCGGAGCGGGGGGGCCGGGCTGGCCTCGCGGGGAGTGCGGGTCGGTTTTGTGCGCGTTGCCAGACGAGGCTCCCGCCGCCGATTGACCCGCGCTCCGCCCCGCAGCCGGGCCGGTGAGTGCCCGCGAGCCCGTGGTGCGCCCTGGGGACCGACAAGAGGGACCCTGAGAGGGAGGGATAACCGGAAGTGGGCCAGCGGAGCGAGAGACCCCAGGAAATGGGGACACCTGGGGAGGGGGCGACCGCCGGAAGTTGGGGGCCTTGGAAGGTTGTCTGCGGGATGTGGAGTCCCTGGGGCTCCAGTTCTGGCCTCTCATTGTTGGGGCGGGGGAAGGAGATGCTCCACCAAATGATGGACTCCAGGTGGGGAAGATTCCCATCTTCACCCTCACGAATGGGGTTTGCATCCTGTCCGTTTGTCCACCCATCTGCTCATGCATCAGACTATGACAACCGCTGCTGAAGCCTTGGAGATTAAACAGGAATCCCCAGGTGGAGCGGTAGAGATTATGAGCCTTCCCCCCAGGGCGGTGACCCTTCCTTCCCTGCTTCACTAAGTGTGTGCCCTTGGGCATATCACTTATTCTGTAACCCTACTTTCACCCCACGCCGCCATGCAGCTGGCACTGGGGATAGTGGTCATAATGGCAGGCAAGTTCTCTGCCCTTGTGGAATTCACGTTCCAGGGGGTGAATACCACTTTTCCAAAATGGAAACAGCAATAATGTGTTCATCAAATACTGTGAATATTCAACGGGCTGAGGATGTAGCTCAGTGCTTGCACGAAGCCCTGTGTTCAATTCCCCACCACTGCAAACAAAAAGATTAAATGAGAAAAACGATGTTAAGTGCTGAGCACAGTGCCTGATTCATGGAAAAACACTCAAGGGTGTATCATCTCTCTTCATCATTCCACTATGTTGTAAGCTTCATAAGGTAAAGATTTGCATTGTTTGCTGTTGTGTTCCTATTCATGAGCACAGTGCCTGACGCATATGGTCTGTAATTATTTGATACGTGAATGGGTGGTGGAGCTGACTCTGAGGAGTTTCATGAAAACTCCTGTAACACTGAACTGCAGTTTCTGAAAGAGAAATAGAAACCCTGTGCTGTGGTTAAACTGAAGGGAACCACCTTGGGGAAGTCAAGGAAGGCTTCACACATGAGGTGACATTGCAGTTGGGCCTTGAAGGTGATGAGTGAGTTGTCTGGTTGGCAACAACAAGGAGAGGAGATTCCAGGCAGAGGGTATCAGAAGTGCATGAGGTGTTCTGAGAATGGCAGGTCATTAGATTGTTTGGATTGGCAGGGACAGACAGGAGGAGAGGCTGGAGAGGGGCTTTGAGGCTAGGCCTGTAGCCTGTTGACACTAATCTGACTCTCAGGTAAACACTGGATTAGGGTTGCAGGTACCTGTTTGTGACTGCCATGGAACAGCCCAGGGTAGGTCCCAGGAAGCCTGGATTGTTCCATTCCTTACCCAGCCTACCTCTGCCAAGCACGCCACATTCATTCAACAAATGTTTACGGAATGCAGGCTAGGTATCTAATACCATGTTAGGTGCCAAGTTTATATTAATGATCAAGACAGACATGGGTATCACCCACAAATTGCCTATAGACAACGACAAGAGTGGGAGAAGTGCTATGACAGAGAGCTCCTTTTGGGGGCATCTGACATGGGTTGGAGTCAGTGAAGGCTGACTGCTTCAAGCCACCATTCTCTCTCACCTAAATTATTCCACTAGGCCCTGTGTGGTCTTCTTCCTCCATCCTCATCTTACAGTCCATCCTCAAGACAACAGCATGTCCTTCTGAATTATACATCAGATCATGTCACCTATACTACTCTCTCTCTCTCTCTCTCTCTCTCTCTCACACACACACACACACCATGCTCCCTCTTCACTTAGGGTAAAAATTGAAGTTCTTAACCGAGCACAAGCCCTGGCCACTGGGCCCCCAGTAACCCTCTGAATTCATCTGCTCGAGTTCCTACTTTGGCTCTAGCCACTCTGTCTCCTTGCTGTTGCTCAAAAAAGACAGGCATTTCCTTCATTTGGCTTTGCATTTGTTCATTCCCTAGATGTACAAGACTTGCTCCTTCACCTCTGTCATCTTTGTTCAAGTGTCACCTAGGTGAGCCTTCCCCGAGTACCCTATTTATTTTTTTTTCCATGCTAATCTTCTCTGTATCGTTCCAATTTTAGTATATGTGCTGCCGAAGCGAGCACCCGAGTACCCTATTTAAAATTGCATAGACTGCCTCCTACCTTCATTAGAATCTAAGCTCAATGAAGGCAGGATTCTTTGTCCACTTCTGTATCCCCAGGACCTGGAAAAGGGCTTAGTACATCATAAGTTCTCAATATATGTTGAATGGGGAGAGATAAGGTAGGGCATGTCTGTAATCCCAGCTACTCAGGAGACTAAGGCAGGTAGTTCTTAAGTTTGAGGCTTGCCTGAGCAAAGTTAGAACTTATCTCTAAAACAAAATACAAAACAAAAGGGATGGGGTGTTGCTTAAGTGGTAGAGCACTTGCCTGGCATGCATGAGGTCCTAAGTTCAATCCCCAGTACCAATAAAAAATGTTGAATGAGTGAAGTAGTATATAATCAGGACTTAAGGGTGAATCAGTGTGGTTCAGGTGAGGGACTGGAAGAAGAGCATGCCAGTGGGATGGGGATATGGTCAGGATGGGAACATACCTTTGGGAGGAGGTGAAAGAAGTTGGGTGGGGCCAGAGGTTGGCATGCAAGAGATGCAGTGGACAGACCAAAGATTCGGAAGGAGGGACCTGCTTGGTCACTGAAGGGAGTCCGGCCAGATGCAGCCAGGACATCACAGGTATGTGCAGAAACTCTTGAGGTGGTCCCTGCTTTCCTTGAGCTCAGAATGGAGGCTCAGTGGTGGCTTGTGGACAAGAGCTTGGGCTTTGGGACTAGGCAATCCTATTGCCACCTTATTTGTGGGCTGTCTCAGCTCTTTCAGTTTTTTCATTCAAAAGTGTGTTAGTTCAGCTTTCCCCAGAAGCAGACACTAGGATCTAGAGACTCCATAGGCAACTCATGAACTTTATTGAAGGCAATGCCTGTGACAGATCAAAGGGAAGGGTGCTGGAGAAGTCAGGAGGAGCTTTCGGTCAGTGAAGCAGGTCTGGCAGGAGGTTTGGTCCTTAAGAGCCTCCGAGGATAGTGTTGGCCCAGAAAGGGTTCAACCAGGCTAACAGGGAGTCCTTGAACTGGGGTTGCCTGTTAGAGGAGTCTGCATTGCTCAGTCACTGGCAAAGAGTGGTCTGTGGAAAGCAGTACCAGCTGGAGGACGCATCTGGACTGCAGCTAGGGCCACTTGTCAGTTGTTTCCCCAGCAGCAGATCTCACCAGTGGCTCCCGCGATAAGTTGCATGACTGCGTGTTAAAAATACAAACAGTAAAGTAAAAATCCATCTCAAATCTAGTTGTCCTAGAGGTACCCATTGGTAACAGTTTCTTTCTGTCTTTTTTTTGGTGGTTCTGTGGTATGAACTAGGGCTTCATGCTTGAACCACTCTGCCAACCCTGTAACCGTTTCTTTTATCTCCTTCTCCACAAACGTGATTATTTTCTGGTTGCTCTTCTGCAACCTGCCTTTCCCTTAATGTGTCAGTTCGTAAGCTGTGCCTAATTTCTTTTCTTGACTGAATAGTGCTCCATTCCTATGGTAGCATTCCTCAACTGTTCTTCTGTTGTGAGGCTAAGGTATCTCCAGTTATTTGCTATTATAATCAGTACTTGCAATGGACTTGTGCATATTTTACAAATATGTACAGGTATATGTTCTAGGAATGGAATTGCTGAGCCAGTCCTAGGGTGGTTTTAAAGTTTGACAGATACTGACAGACTGCCCTCATGAGAGGCTATGTCCGTGTTCACTCTTCCTAGAATTTCTCAGTACCTGTTTTTATTTTTGTCAGCCTGAATTTCAAAGATGTTTCAATTCACATTCATTTAATGATGAGTAAGGTCGAGCCCCTATTCACACACTTTAAGGAAGGTATGGTGTTTGATGTGGAAGGCTTATTTTAGGCCATAGCTGCCTGTGCGACTTCCAGGAGATTCTAACTGCATCAGTCTGGACGTGGACCTGGACATACGGTTCAGATCCAGTTCATTCTCCTACCAGCCGGAGGTTGCTTGGCTCTGACAAAAGAACCTCTGTGTCCTGCTGTCTTGGGTTTGATGTGAGCATTGCTGAGCCTGCTCATCCTGGCTTGGGGCTTGTGTGTTGGCAGGGACCTTGGTCGCTAATGTCAGAAGAAAGTGACTCTCTGCGAACCAGCCCCTCTGTGGCCTCGCTCTCCGAGAATGAGCTGCCACCACCGGCTGAGCCTCCTGGTTACGTGTGTTCACTGACAGAGGACCTGGTCACCAAAGCCCGGGAGGAGCTGCAGGAGAAGCCCGAGTGGAGACTCCGGGATGTGCAGGCCCTTCGCGACATGGTGCGGAAGGAGTACCCCACCCTGAGCACATCCCTGGATGACGCCTTCCTGTTGCGCTTCCTCCGTGCCCGCAAGTTTGATTACGACCGGGCCCTGCAACTGCTGGTCAACTATCACAGTTGCAGGCGAAGTTGGCCCGAGGTCTTCACTAACCTGAGGCCATCAGCCCTGAAAGACGTCCTCAATTCCGGATTCCTCACTGTGCTGCCCCACACAGACCCCAGGGGCTGCCATGTCCTCTGCATCCGCCCAGGTACGCCCCTCTGTGCCTGGCCTACAGTCTGCCTTCTCCCAGGCCCTTTCCCCTCCTTGTCTTAGTCAAGGTTCTTTTGCCTGCAGAAGACAAAACCCTACTCATACTAACTTATAAGTAAAGGGAGGACTTGGTGTAAGGAGGCAGGAGCACCTCCCAGCCCGGCTAGCTGAAGGTGCAGCTCTTCCCAGGCCCTAGAACTAGGAGCAGAGCGCTACTGGGAGCTGAGCTGGCCCTTCCCTGTCTCTACTAGTCTGTGTCCTCTGGATCACACATTTCTGTTGTCCTTCATACCTTCTTCACATCTTTTTTTCCTGTAAACTGGCAAAGCTAAATCTGATACCTCTCGGCTCTCAGGCTTACCTGGTCGCCCAGTTAACTGTCCTCAGTGCAAATTCTAGATTCCCAGGGGAGAGAATCTGGTGGGCTGAGGAATCTGCCCTTGATCATAGGATACAGGCTTAGCTGGCAAGACCCCCTTTCCTCTGAGTGAGCTAATAAGTACAGGTGTCATTGAGAGGGTGTGGGCTGGGCAAATGACTACACAGGTGCCACTCTGTGCCTCCTCCACCCTGCCCTTTTCCCTGCTTTGTTAAGTCCTGACAGAATTCACTTATCTATCTATCTATCTGTCTATGTTTTCATTTTTGTTATTATTTTTATTAACATTTTTGTTAGCATATGTTAATTGTACCAAAAGGGTTTCATTGTGATATTCCTATATATGCATAGAAAATACTTTGATCATATTTTCACTCCCTTTATGACTCCGTATCATCCCTCCCCTTTATTTTGCAATTTTTAATAGGTATCATTATTTTCATATAGGATTTGCTTTATTTGTTTATTTATGTATTTATTTTCCTAGTGCTAGTGCTCAAACCCAGGCCATCACATGCTAGACAAGTGCTCTACCACTTGAGCCTCAACCCAGCCCTAGATTCACCTGTTGATCTTAGCACTTCAAAGTAGTAATCAGGGTATCTTACATTTCTTTTTGTGTTTTCTAAGTTCATTTTCTTTAATGTTATTCAGAAAGTATGAGTAAAGCCAAAGTAAATAAACATTATCACATTTGTTTACACCACTATATTAATGTTACTATTCAAACAATAGCAAGTAGGTAGCAATTTAGGAATTAGGATAGCGATAATACCAAAAAAATTTTCTACCATGTCGATTCTTCTCACGTCTTTTCCTTCCTTCCTTCCTTCCTTCCTTCCTTCCTTCCTTCCGTCCTTCCCTTTCCTTCCTTCCTTCCTTCCTTCCTTCCTTCCTTCCTTCCTTCCTTCCTTCCATCCTTCCCTTTCCTTCCTTCTTTTTCTTTTTTTTTGGGGGGGTGTGGGACTGGGGTCAGGGCTTTGACTTGCAAAACAGGTGCTATACTGCTTGAGACACACCTCCTCCCCAATTCTTCTCATTTCTTTGGCACAGAAGTTTCCAGCAGGGGAGGCTCCCCCCAGCCTTCCCACAGGAGCATTTGGAAAGGTGACCAGTGACTGGGGGGTGCTAGAGCTCCAGTCTCTGATTCGTAATCCTATTCTGGTCCATGAGAACAATGCACTATAAAGGGAGGAGCAGTCCCCACTCCACCCACAGGCTCCATATTTCCATCAGACCAGAGCTCAGAAAAATGGCAAGTAAGATTTCATTGTTCTTCCCAAGCAAGCCAGGAAATGAGAGCATGCTGGCAGCCCTCATGCTTCTTGAAGGGACACCTCCATGTAAGTTGACACCTCCTTCTGCCTGTAAGCCCCACAGCACTGTCTCCTTAGTCATTCACCAAACTCTCTTTGTAGTCTAGATCATTCTTTTCAGCCTTTACCATGTACTAGGCACAATGTTAGCAACTTTACCTGCTGTTCTACGTACTTTCCAGAATTAGTTGTTTATTTTAAAATAAGCATGCAGTTAGATTTCAGGGCACTAAGAGACCTGGAAACCAGCCGACAGGCTTCTCTGCCCTCCCTGTGCTCAACTGATAAGACTTTTACAAAACAGTCAGATATTACCATACTGCCTGCACCTTGTTGCTGTGTGGTTTCGGCTCTTAGCTTGGGAAGTGAATTTTTGTCTCATGTGTCTGGAGCAGATGTGGAAGCCCCCCTGCCCCTCCAGCTTTTTAGGAGAAGGCAGGCACACAAAGTTTTGTTCTCAATTGGATTTTGTCTTTGCCTTTTTATAAGCCCTTTTGAGATGTATGTGATTGAAAAGGTGACATCTGGTTATGTAGGGGTAGGTTTAATCAGCGTGAACAGTAAACTGCAAGCTGGTACAGCTTTTGGACAATTTTTTTTTCATAGGAATTGAAGTTTTGTCTTTCTAAGAAAGGAGTACCCAGATCTTGATGAGATTTTCTTGAGAATATTGATTAACAGTCCAAAATATTGTCATTTTTTTCTTTTTCTGAAAGAAAGGAAAGAATCATTAAACATTTGAGGAGTAAGTATTTAAGAGGCATCTACCCTAGAAAGGGGAATTTGAAGACAGGTCTCTGGAACATAACGTTATGCTCCACCTACAACACCCCCTGAAAGTGATGTATGAGTTAGGACTCAACTCTTTGGGTGGCAAGTGACAGAAAGCCAGTATTGATCAGCTGAAAGAACAAAAGGAGGAGAGCTCATTTGCTTAGACAGCTGACAGCTGAACACAGCTGGATTTGGGGGCACTGGGAAGCTCTTTCTCCGCTGACCTCAGCATGGTCTTCAGTCTCAGGCCAGCTCTGGCCTCATGGGACCTCTGAGTCTGAGCCTCACACCCTCAACACCATAAGAGGGAGAGAGATGTTCCCTTTCCCAAGGGTCCTGGAATTAAGTCTCCTTAGCACTGCGTGACCTAGCTTGGATTACACACTGGCCAGGAGAATGTCATACCAGATTGGCCAGCCAGTCCCCAGTCATTTGCCCAATTTCTGGAGTGAGGAATCAAGTAGGTTCTATCCAAACTTGATGGCAAGAATTGGAAGAGATGATATGAAGATCAGGGGAAACACCTGATGTTAGATGTCCACAAAGGTAGGTATCATTTTCCTGTTCCACTAATGAGGAGGCTCAGTGAAGCAGCAGCTTGCGCAAGATCTCATAGCTAGTAAGGTCAGAACCGCAGGCATGTCTACCTTTAGAGCTCATACTTTTAACCTCAGCACTCAATTTCCAAATGCGGTGCTGGGTTTGGAGTTAAGAATCATTAGCCACTGTGTAGGATGGCCACAAGAATGTCTTTTTCTTCCATTTTGAAACAGCAGTTCTAGAAAGAAGAGAAATCTTTGGACACTTGTTTGTATTCACTTCTGTAACATACTGTCCATCTCTTATGACCTTAGACAGATGGATCCCAAGCAACTACCCAATTACTGAAAACATCCGAGCCGTATACTTGACATTAGAAAAACTCATTCAGGCTGAAGAAACACAGGTGAATGGAATTGTAATTCTTGCAGACTACAAAGGAGTGAGCTTATCAAAAGCATCTCACTTTGGCCCTTTTATAGCCAAAAAGGTGATTGGCATCCTCCAGGTATGGCCCCCACTTGCCATGTGGCTTTCTGTGGTTGCTTTGGCTTTCTCAAGGGTCCTGTCCATTTGCTGCAGGTCTCATGTGATTGAACAAATCCCACTTCCCACCCTGCAATGGGAAACAGTCTGCAGCCCTGTTTATTACTGCTCTCTTCAGGGACTCTAGTCATTTCTGGAGAAGGTACCTGCTCAGTCTGGGTGAGATCAGCTTTAGGGCAAGGATCCAAAACAAAACTGAGAAATTTGTATTCTGCCATGATGCTGGAGCTTTTCCTGCCAAAGTGGAGTTCTGTGGGACTGTTTTTTGGTCAGAGGCCTCACATCTCATCTGCATTTCAGAACCCAAATTTCTGGGAACTGTCCATTACAGTTATAGTGACTTTCCAGTCATTATAAACCCATTCAGTCCTCTGAGTTAGGGAAGGCAAAAAAAATTTTTTTTTTTTTAGCATTACTGGGGATTGAACCCAGGGCTTTGTGCTTACTAGATAAGTGCTTTACCACTTGAGCCACACCCCCAATCCTCCTTTTTGGTAGATGGAGAAATTGAGACCTAGAAAAGATACAGCCTGACAGAAGTGTCACAGCTGTTACAGGCTTGGACTCCTTGTTCATTCTGACCCACCCTTGGGTGCTGCCTCTTGTGAACTGTGGGGCACCAGTATTGTAACAGTGCCCCTCAGTGAGCTCCACAAATGTGCTCGAGAGCCTGTTGTGCACCTGCTTATTACTTAAATAGGCACATTTGTCATTATTGTAAATTTGATTTCTGCCTTTGAGCCAATTAGTGGCTCTCTTTAGCTTCTAGTGTGTGTGTGCGTGTATTGATTTAGTTTGGTTTCAGGTTAGTTTTTTTGTTTTTGTTTTTTGAAAAAGGGTTTCACTATGTGGTCCAAGTTAGCCTTGAACTCACTGTGTAGTCCAGGCTGACCTTGACTTTTGAAATTCCAAACTGTCTCCCAAGTGCTAGGATTCCAGGTGTGTGCAACCATGCCTGTTTTTGTTTTTTTGGGGTTTGTTGTTGTTGTTTTGAGGTGTTGGGGATAGAACTCAGGGCATCATTCATGCTAGGAAAGCGCTCTGTACCACTGAGTTACATCCCTAGCCCTGTACTTTGATTTGACATCCTCTGCTGAATATGTTCATTCAGTGTTAGGATAGAGTTTGGATCATGTTTTCCTAGTACTGGAAGATCATCCAGAGGGGACAGAAGTTCCAGGGTTAAACAAGTTTGGGAAATGTGGTATAGCAGGTCCCTTTCTTGTGAATTTCACCATAAGCATCTAAGTCTTAAACTCTGGAACAGCACAGCAGTCAAGGAAACACACTTGGCAGTATTTAGTTTCCTATATTTCTCAGTCTCCCTTACTTGCCATACAACCTTTCTTTGCATTGCCCTGATACACCCTGGGAAAACGCCTAGGGCAACACTGACCCAGAAAGGTCTGATATTTTCCTGATCCACCCATGTAGACTTAGACCACTGTTTGCTGCTAGAAGGACAGCTTTCCACCTGTTTGCCTAACTCTCTTCTGACCCTGTCTTGCCTCCCAGGAGAGACTTCCCTAGGCTACTTTTCCTGATTAGCCCCACTGGGGCTGTCTTCAAAATGGCCATGAAAGTCAGATCAGACTGTGTTGGGGCTGCATGGAAGTTTAAAAGGGGAGGCCAGCTGCTGAGGGACAGTTTGCAGACACTGCAGATGCTCTAACATCCTTTCCATTCTGCCCACAGGATGGTTTCCCCATTCGGATAAAAGCAGTCCACATAGTGAATGAACCTCGAATATTTAAAGGCATTTTTGCCATCATAAAACCATTTCTGAAGGAGAAAATAGCAAACAGAGTAAGTAATACACCTTTTGACTTCATAGGCTTTAGTTTTTTCTCCCTTATTTGTGACATCTAGTTCTTAATTTTTGCCCTGGAACTAATTGGAAAGTGCAAGTTACAAATAAATATAAATGAGGGAAAGAAATGATTAATAAGACTGTATTATTTGCCAGTAGAAAGAGCAGAGCCAGGATTTTATTTATTTATTTATTTGGTCATATTGGTGTTGAACTCAGGACCTCACACTTGCTAGGCAGGTTCTTTACCACTTGAGCCACTCTGCCAGCTATTTTTTGTGTTGAGTATGAGTACATAGGATTACAGGCATGAGACCCCAGGTCTGGCCAGAGCCAAGATTTTTATATAAGCTGCCTGTCTGTTCTGTAATCATTTAGACTTCTTGGTCTCCTGGCTTATGCATTGTGAACCAACATTGCATTTTATGTGTAAGAGGATATGGAAAAGAGGAAGAGGGAAAGAGAATCACTGAGAAGATTGTTTAAAAGAGTTAAGTCATTCTTTCTTTTTTTTATGGTGGTTGGGTTGGAACCCAGAGCCTCACACATGGTAGGCAAGTAGTCTGCCACTGAGCTATAGCCTCAGCCTAGATGAAACTTTAAAAGATGAGTCTTCCTTTCTAACCCACAGTAGCCCTTCCTCTCTTCACCTGATGGATGTGATGTGGTTATTTTTCTCCAGCTTCCCTAGACTTAGGAACACTGTGGTTGCTCCAAAGACTGCCCCCACCCCAGCTGAGCATGGTGACTCACACCTGTAATCCTAGCTACTCAGGAGGCTGAGGATCAGGAGGATTGCATTTTGAGGCCAGCCTGGGCAAAAAGTTCTTGAGACCTTTCAACCAATAAAAAGCTGATTGTGGTGACATGTGCCTGTCATCCCAGTGAGGGAAGATCACACAGTCCAGGTCAGCTAGGGCATAAATGTAAGACCTTGGGGCATGGTTCAAGTGGTAGAGTGTCTGCCTGGCAAGCACAAGGCCCTGAGTTCAACCCCAGTACCACCAAGAAAGAAAAAAAAAAAAAGACCGGTCCCTCAATTTCATCATCTTTTTCAAAAAGGAAGCTTATTCAGATAGTGTCAGGTTGCAAGGGAGGAAACTTAAAATCCAAATGGAGGTTCCCAGGCCCTTTCTCTGAAGATTTGTAAGATCAGGGGTGGAGTCCAGGAGCAGCAGTGTCTTTAAATTCTGCTTAGGTGATTCTGATCACAGTTGGCTTGAGAGTCACTAATTTAGTGACCCCCATCTGGGTCACTAAAATGTCAGTTCTTAAAAATTCTGTTTTGAGCTTTTACCAAACCAGCCTTTGGACAGATCTTTTTCATCTGTGCAGTGCCCTGTGATGCAGTTTATCTGTTCCTTTTATGTTACTTATTCATTCAGATGAATCAACTGCTGTGTGCAAAATGGGCAAAACAGGCCATAATTCCTGCCCCTAAGAAGCTTACACTGTAGGCACTGAAGATATGGCTCAGAGGTAGAGCACCTGCCTAGCATCCACCATACCCTATGTTTGATCCCCTGCCTCTCAAAAAAGAAAAGCAACTTCCACGTAGATTCCACTGTAGAGAGGCCCACAGACAATGGGTTACGTGTGTTATTTAGTAGTAGAATGTGATAAATTCGATGGAGAAAAATGAAGGTAATAGTGAGTTCATGTGAGAGGTGGAGGAGGGGTTGCAGCATTCAGTAGAGTGGTTAGAGGTGAGTGCATAGAGACATTGCACTCATTGCATTTTAGCCAAGATTTGAGAAGTGATCAAGTGAGCTACACAGAGCTCAGAGACCAGTGCAGCCTGACCCTGAGGCCACGCAGCGGGGACCTACCTGGCATGCTGGAGGTGAAGCTAAGAGGAGCAGCTTCTGTGGCAGGCACTGAGAGAATGAAGAAATAATGGGGCCAGATTGTGATAGGCTGTGGGGGCCATCATAGGACTGGGAACGGAGTAAACTTTTTTTTTTTTTTTGGAGATGCTGGGGTCTTGAACTCAGGGCGTCATGCTTACAAAGCAGACACTCTGCAGCTCAAGCCACACCTCCAGTCCAAGGGACGGGAAGGTTGTAAATAGATAAGTGATGTGATCTGGTTCACATTGAAAGGAGTTTAGCTGGGCATGGTGGTGCATGCCAGTAATCCCAACTCTAAGGAGGCTGAGGTAGGAAGATAGAGAGTGATTGAGAGTTCAAGGCCAGCTTTGGCTACCAGGTAAGACCCAGACAAGGAAGTGAAGGAGGAAGGGAGGGAGGGAGGATAAAAAGGAAGGGAGAAGGAGGGAGGAAGAGAGGGAAGAAATGAAAAAAAAAAAAAAAAAGAGTTTAGATTGTAGTGGGGCAAGAGTGGGAGCAGGGGGACCAAATAGGGAGCTAATGAGGGACTCCAGGGAGAAGTGATGGCAGCCTGGCACCATTAGGGTGGTAAAGTGGTTAGGTTGTGGCTGTATTTGGAAGGTGCAGCCACAGGGTGTGTAGAAAAGAATTAAAGGACACTCCGAGCCTCGGGGCTGAGAAAGCTTTCTTCCTCAGCACATGCTTCAAGCACTTCCACAAAGGAGTTTGCTGCGTTGCTGATTCACCTAAGACATCTGTCTGCTTTTCATTTCACCTCCTTTCAGTTCTTCCTCCATGGGGCTGACCTGAACTCCCTCCACACAAACCTTCCAAGAAACATTCTCCCCAAGGAGTACGGGGGCACAGCTGGGGAGCTGGACACTGCCACCTGGAATGCGGTGCTGCTGGCCTCAGAGGATGACTTTGTGAAGGAGTTCTGCCAACCTACGCCTGGCTGTGACAGCATCCTGGGCCATACGCTACTGCCTGAGGGTCTGAGCTCAAATGCACAGTGTGATGATTCCATGCGAGCTGTTAAGTCCCAGCTGTATTCCTGCTATTAGCTTGTCCCCTGGGCTGTCACCATGTTTAACTCCTTTCCTTTCTTCTTTAGACTCACAAGGAGAACTTAGGTGCCAAGGCTTCAGTCTTGCTCTAATTAAATGGCAGCATGGAGAACTTTGAAGGTGAGCCCATCATGGGGTAAGCCTTTGGTTACTTGGATTATTCCAGGGAAGATGTGGAAAATACCCCCATGATTCCCAAATGTTTGGACTGTCTGGAAGCTGTATCTGGTTCTTACACAACTCAGAAGCAAGAAAAGTCAGGACCAAAGTCACTCTGCTCCCACTTTCTAGGACAAAGCAGACAGACTGGCCAGTCAGCATTACTCCCCTGAAACAATTTGGCCAAACCTGAGAGGTGGCCAGATGTGAGGCCATGGGAGTTTGTTTCCTATGAACCCTAACTATAGACCTCTGTTCCTCATCAGGAAACTTCAAGGTTGAGATCCAGGCCCCAGTTGCCACCTCTGGGTATGGAAAGCACCTTAACTGAGTCCCAGAAGCACCAGGGCTTAAGCATCACTTCCTGGTCAAATGTGGAGGTGACTTCATAGCATCCCTGGAATTCCTTGGTTAATCTTGCAATAGAAACTTTTTTTCCCAAACCTATAAAGCCTTAGCCCTGGTTCTGAACAGAATCATCCTAGTCCTAAGAGTACATGATTTTGCGCAGTGTAAAATATTGGATTCTCAGCCTATAGAATTTTGACCTCGGAGTTGGAGACTTGGGCCTCAGATGTGTGACTATGGACCAGACATGGGCCTCTGTAGGCCTCAACTTTCTCCTCTGTAAAATGAGCCTGGATGAAATGATGTCTGTGCCCTTTGGCTTCTTAGGTTCTGGTATTTGGTTTAACTTCAGTTAGGTTTTCTGCAGAGAGAAATGTCTAGAAACAAGTGATTGGGCAGTTTTCTTTGTGGTACGTATACTTCATTCCATGAAGTCTCACATTTGGCCCTGCCTTTGAAGAAACTAGTGTGTATATTCCTGGGATTCAGTGATACCAATTGCTCTTAGTAGTGATGGTTAAACTTAAAAAGGATGGCTTTTGTGGGGCCATATTAGATGACCCAGATCTTGTATGAATTCCTTCTTTCCATCCCAGAGATACTTGTAGTGTGTTGCAAACCTGGCTACAGTGGTTACAGTATTTGGGCTTCTTAACTTTCATCCTGGAAACACACACAGGGGCAGGTTACTACTGGTTACCCTCTGGGAGCCCTGCCCTCTCAAGCCCACTGGGGTGTTTCTCTGGTGTAGGAGCACCAGCTGGCCTGAATGTTATTAGTTCTGCACTTTAGAGCCTCCTTGTCAAGATTTTAGCCTTAACCCAAGTGTCTGATGGCTTTTGACCTATTCACATTCATCTCGTGTGGTTATGGCGTTAGTGACAAGTACTACTTACATGTGTGTGCTTTTTCTGTGCAATTCATTCGATAAGCAGTCTGGGCAGGCACAAGCAACTTCTTAGGGAGAGATAATACTCTGAAATTCAAAGGTCAGTCTGTTGTTACTAAGCTGTTCATCACCATCCCCCCCCCACCTTTGGCAATACTGGGTTTAGAACTCAGGGCCTTCTGCTTGCCAGGCAGGCACCCAACCACTTGAGCCATACCACCAGCCCTTTTGCTTTATATATTTTATAAGTAGGGTCTCACATTTATGTCTGGGCCAGCCTGGACTGCACATTCCTATTTATGCTTCCCGCCCTGCTGGGATGACAGGTGTGCACCACACCCCCAGTTTTTACTGATTGAGATGGGGTCTTGCAAACTTTTTGCCCAGGCTGGTCTTAAACTATAGTCCTCCCGATCTTTGCCTCATGAGTAGCTAGGATTACAGGTATGAACCACCATGCCCAGCCTAAGAGCTGTTCATCTTGACAGCACTTTTAAAAATGGCTGGATAAATTGTTGGTGGAAATTTACTTATCTCAATGCCAATTGTAGGGGAAGTTATTTTCACCATAGATACTAACCCTGGATCCTCTAGGGTCCTGGGTGAGCTAGAAGTGCCAAAATGCAGACCCCCGGCTGCCCTTGGTCCCTGAAGATGATCTGACCAGCACTGCTGTGGGGATGGCTAAGTGGAAGGTTCAGAACCCAGTGGCCTGGGTGGGAGAAGCCACTAGAAGCTTTCTTAGGCCCTAAGAGGGAAGAAAGCAGAAAGAAAAAAACCTAGGCAAAGGGAAGGATGAATCACTCAGCCCCACCAAGTTCCCAGGGTGTAAATCCTGCATCACATTCCTGGCCTTTGTCTTTGTGACTTAACACAGGAGTAATCAGGCTTGTGAGAAGTATCTCAGAAGCCCAGGAAGGCTGGCTCATTTTCTAGACCTTTCTGGTTACACGAAGAAAGAGCTGTTTTCATTCAGCCTCTGAGAGGAGGCAGGCTAAGCCTCTCTGCCTCCTGGAGCTGCGATGCTTTGTCTTGGCTCCAAAGAAAAAATCAAACCGTCCAGCACATCAGGAGGTTCGAAGCAAGCTGTGAAGCAAGGACCTCCCTGGTGTCCCAAGGCAGAGTGCTTGTGTCACCAGCAGGAGTAGGAAAGCACACTGGTGGAGCCAACCAGTGAACACAGAAAACTGGGAGTATCTTCCTTCAGGTCAAAGTTCCAGCTGCTTCACAAACCTCTTAAGTCCAAGGTCACTGGGAAAGGGGAATTGAGTTTCAGCTTTGTCTTGCTTTGTGGCCTTGAATGAGCTACTTAACATCCCTAATCATATGATAAAGGGCACTGACACTCTCAGCCCTCTGTCGGCTTTCCTGCCACAGGGACACGGTACTCTATCTTTGTAGAGGCTTTTTTTCTTTTTCCCCAATCGGAGTTATTATTTAGGAAATTTAGATCTAAATGAATTGGAACATAAAGCTTACAAATCTGTTAGCTTCTTCCTCTTCGTTCCCTGTTCCCCTACAGACGTCTAGAAAATGACTTCCTCTAGAAACCTAGTCTGTCTTCAGGGGAGAGGCAGACAAAATCTACAGAAACAGTCAGAATTGCAACCCTGGCTTCACACCTTGGCTGTCCTGCTTGCTCTTGGCAAAGGTGACTTTGGCTCCCTCACACTCTTCTTGCTCTCACAAGGAACTGCTTGTCCTAGGTTTAAAGCACTTCAGGTTACAAGGCACTGTTTTTCCAAAAAGAGGTGGGGTGACAGGAGGCAGTTCCCCTAAATTCTTGAGATATTAGGCCTCAGTATTGAGTGGGAAATTCCTCCAAATGTCATCTCTTTGTCAGGTCAGTCATGGGATTACTTTTTCACTCGGGCAGCAAAAGCTATACTGTTTGGCATTATTACATTATTCCCATACTTCATTTTAAAGTTGTCAGGTTTCAGGTTAGCTAATGGTGTAAGTGTGGCTGTCCTGTGGCATGAGAGGCCTGGGAACACCAACCATGTAGACTACTCAGGAAAGATGCCCGTCATGCTAAGGCCTCTGAGTGTTAGAAGCTGCTGACTTTGTAAATCTAAAGTGAACTCTTCTGCTTTCCTGACTCAAAAATGGTCTGCCTGAAATGCAGCAAACACACACCACCAGACATTCCTCCTCTACGGGAGCTTGCATCATGAGAAGGTCAAGCGTGATTTGTGCATGGAGATGGGTGATTTAATTCATTGGTTTTCAGTTAGCTGGGTGTTTTTGTTTTCAGTCTCACTGGCAGCTTTCGTAAAGCAGTAACCATCTGCTACTGTTAACTCTTGTGGCTACACCTCCCTTCGTGGTATACTAGGTAGGAACCTGTTACAAGTGAAATACTTGAAACTTCGCTGTGGCCAATACCTCTGTACTGCTCTGATGAGGTGGAGCTGGGTTGGTTTTCTGACCAGTTTGGGGCACCATTTCAGCCACTGGTCACATTCCTTGCTTCAAACTGAAATTCAGTTTGGCTTTGAATGTAGGGACATGTGGTAGTGGATTCAGTGTTTGTTTCAACCAAAACTTTATTTTTCTAGTGCATTTTTTCTAAGTCAAAGTGGTGGAAACATGTAATTTTAGTATGCATGACTGGGTCTTAATAAAAATCCCTGTACTGTTGAGTATGTGTGTTCTTTTGTGACAGTAACATTTTGGATAAAGATTCTGAAGTTTCCTACTCACAGGCACAGGCAGAGCCTCCCTCCAAGGTGAAGCTGGGAGGGGCACTATGGCAGATACTGGGCTGACTGCCTCCCAAGGTCATGTGCACTTAGACTACACCAGTGTGCAAAGGAGAACGGAGCTAGCTACACAGTGGTAGAGGCACTATGTACTTTTCAGTTCTCAAGGCCTGAATCCTTTCAATGGTAAGTAACAATTCCTGAGTGCTCCTATAGGTCAGGCACATGTGTTAAGACATACACACACTACACACATGCACTACAACACATAGTTTCCTTTAATCTTCAGATACCCTTAATGAAGTATATTGCCCCTGTACAGAAAATGAAGTGCAGAAAGGTTAAGAGCTTGCCCAAGGACACACAACTAGCATAGCAGAGATGGGATTCAAAGCCAGGTAGCTGACTGACCAAGCCCTGTATCCAGAAGACCTGAGGGTTGGAGTTAGGTGGCACACATCTTATTCTTACAATCAACATGACAGAACACAGGGAAAGAAGGTAGGGATATTTTAGTGTAAGAAAGTGTCTGAAACTGGCTTGTTTTCTGGAAATATAATCTCTGAGACCCAAGATGTAACTGAACACTTTATCCCAGAAGCAAGCCCAGTCTCCTTCAGGAGCAAGGGTGGTATGGCTTCATAAACTCTGATGTCCTGTGTGCTAAAGCTATTTCTTAAGGAACATGCAGTGCCCCAGAGTAGATGGCAGCTGGGTCCCCATGGTGGGTCTAGGGTGGTAATGAGCCAGCTGAAAAACCCTAACACAGGATGTAGGCTTACTACTGGCTTCTGGTGACACAACAGGTTGGGTACTCAGGCTGTCAGCACAGCCAGCTCTTCAGGTCAACCCTTCCTGAGGAAGTTGCAAAACTTAAGCTCAGCCTGTTTCTCATTCTGGAAAACAGGAGCTAACAGTTCCAGTACTTTACATCATAGCAGGGTCATGAGGATCAAAGGAGGCACTTCCCAGTGTTCTGAGGCAGCACTCTCTCCAGGCCTCCTCCTCAAAGGAAGGGGTGGGTGGGCATTCTCATAGTCAATAGCAAGTTTCTTGTTACTTCATTTAAAGCTGGTAGTAGGGCTGGTGGTGTCGCTCAGTAGTAGAGTGAGTGTATAGCATGCTCTAGGCCCTGGATTGGATCCCCGACACCAAAAAAAAAGTAAAATAAATATAGCTAGTAATAAGATCCTTTAGAATACTTTCTTGGGGAAAATGTTTCTAGCTGAATGTTTGTGTTCTTAACCTGGCTACATGGCAGCCACTAGAGACAGAATGACCTCATACGTTACCAGTGACTGCCTTCAGGTGATCACTAAATGATAAGTAGTTTCAGGAGCCACTTGACTCCCCTACATTGTTTCCAAGCAGTCTGCAGTCTGTCTCGTCTCCTGTATCCTGAGGAACCCAGAGACAATGAGGCCTAATTGAGAAAAGAACTTGGAAATCAAGTCCCGGGTTTGTTTCTCTGCTCTGCCTCTTCCTGGGTAACACCGAAAAAAGTCATTAAAAGGGGGGAGGGGATAATCATCATCCTACAGGGATAGAGATAATGTCAGGTCAGTGCTTGGCACGTGTAGCTATTTATGTGTCATTTATTATTCTTCACCTGAGGACACAGGCATTGTGTGGCTTGAGTCACCCAGCAGTAATGAGGACACCACTGAGTAGGCAAATGATCTGGGTGCATAGGTAACAGGATGGGTAGGTCAACAGAACAGGAGTAGAGATGAACAGTAGCTGGTAATCTGCTACCAGTCCACAGAAATCACACATTATCTGAATATTCACTTTAGCCTGATGTGTAACAGAAGAAACACGGTCAAGCAAAGACTTGTAGTAACAAAAAGGCTGTCCTGCTTTAAATTAGACCTGAGTTATGGCTTGGTCCAGAGCATCAAAAGTTGTATTGATAAACCAGGTCCATGGCCATTGTTTTGGCAGTTAACTCTGGCTATGGAAAGTTTTATTTCCTAACCATGTACAAGAGCAACCTAGAGAGCTGGGTGGGTGGTGGAGGCCTGTAATCCCAGCACTTGGGAGACAGGCAGAATCAAGAGTTTGAGGCCAACCTAGGCTACAAAAGTGAGAACATTTCCAAGAAAACACACAAAAAAAGACCAACTTAAAAAGAATAATCCAACATAGGCCTATCAGCTTTATCCCAGCTATAACTAGGTCATAGTGGCAGCCATTGCAGTTGCCTTCATGAATTCCTAGACTGTGTCTCTGACCTCAAAGCCAGAGCCCTTAATCAGCAGACCAAGGGGAAAGGCAGGCCTGTTCCTAGTGATGAAACACCAGGTGACACATCGGGAATGAGATGACACTGACATCAAATGAATCAAAATACTGCCCTGCTTTTAAAGCATGATCCCCGAACTTACTCAAAATACTGGCATCATTTATGTTTGTGCGTAATTCAGCACTTGCATATATAACTGCCTGAGTCTGGAACGAGCAACGGAGTTTCCTATTAATAGGCAGACTTAACTCTAGGTATGACCAACCAAAGGGCTGCTACTTGAAATTAATATCAAAAGTTATCATGATGAGGAAAAAGTTAAAACTTTATTGGACTTTTGTTACAGTGTTTTACAGTTTAGTGTTACTTTGATTTTAAATTACATAAGGCAAAGGATGGGGAACTGTGATATTTCTGAAGTGCAGGACCTTGAAAGCTCTTACTCTGGCTCCCCGTTGCTTTACCTTGGCAAGATCAAGGGCCACGCCCATCTGCTCTGCACATCCTTTGCAACTTCATTTCCACACAGGAACTTACCATGAACCACTGGTATAAAGGACAGTGGTTCTACAATTCATACCAAGCTCTGCAGAAATCTACCTCTCTCCCCATTGCTGTTAGTGTTAACACTCCATTACCAAGTAGCTCTCAGCTGTCAGTTCCTCCTCATCCCCCTTCTACTTCTATGTTTCAAATCTCATACTGATTGCTAAGTTCATCCTCTACATCAGCCAAAGTGATGGCTAACAGTTTTCTTATGTCACTCTGAATATGCTTTCTGCTGCCTCAACATGAGGTTCAAACTCTCATGGGGGTTTTATAAAGCCTTTCATAACTTAGTTCCCCTATACTTCCTCCATTCTAGTTTTTGGTTTTTTTGTTTCTATTTGTTTTTGGTGATACTGGGGCTTGAACTCAGGGCCTCACACTTGCTAGGTAGGCACTCTACCACATGAGCCACTACACCAGCCCTTTTTTGTGATGGGTTTTTTCAAGATAGGGTCTCAAGAACTATTTGCACTGGCTGGCCTTAACCTGCCATCTTCCTGATCTCTGCCTCCTGAGTAGCTAGGATTATAGGCATGAGCCATCAGTACTTGGACCATTCCAGTTTTACTGAACACTTTCCCATCTCATTGCCTTAACTATAGTTCTGTCTGCCCTTCAGCAATATCATCCAACTATCTTGTATCTCTCTAGCTGACTCCCAACAGCACTTTCTCTAGAAGTCCACTTTCTCCAGGAAGTGACACCCTGTACCCCAGAGATCGTTCTCTGTGATTCCAAAATCACAGCACTAACTCACCAAACTATAACCACCTGTCGGTTCATTTTTCACTCCCTCCAAACTCTTAAGTCCAAGAGGAAAGAGCACATGTCTGTCGTATTTAAAATCACAACTGAGAACCTACAGGGCATGGTATACAATAGAAACCCAGTAAATCTTTGTTGAAAAGACTGATTTATTCCATCTCCTTGTATGCTGCCTTTTGGGAACATGTTTTTGTTTGGCAGTACTGTGGTTTGAACTCAGGGCCTCATGCTTGCTAGGCGAGAGCTCTACCACTTGAGCCACACCCCCAGCTGGGGAATATGGCTCTTGACACTCCTTCACTGTCTCTTACCTCCCAAAGTCTTACCTAGAGAAGACATTTAGGATAGTTTCTGAATGAGTTTAAGTCTTGGCTGACTAGTCAAACAGTAAGTTTTAGAATGAACAAGAGTGTCCTGTTCTAAATGTGTGTGACTTGTTTCAAAACAACGATGAATGGTTGCTAGTTCAAAAAGCTACAGAATGAAAGGGCTTTCAGAAGCTGGGTGTGGTGGCTCACAACTATAATCCCAGCACTCAGGAGGCTGAGGCAGGAGGATCTCAAGTTCCAGGTCAACATGGGCTAACACAGAGACCTTGTCTCAAGAAAAAAAAAAAGCTTAAGGTCTACTTTAATCAAATACCTTTATAGTGCAAATATAATAAATTTACATGCATTTTACTTTCACATACTCATAACAAGATCATTACATAGACACTACAATGCTTATCCCAGTGAGTCCTCATTTTAATCAAAACTACAAAGCACTTATTGAAATTAACCTATCTGGTAAAGCCACAGACTTGTTATCAAGCAGCATCAATGCTGTAGTATTAAAAAAGTAAATAAAGAAACTCAAGCTATAGATGTAGCAGTAGCCTTATTTGGCAGCTTTTCTGGGGAAGGACTCACATACATAATCCTCACCCAAGAAACAGGACGCTACACCTCTCTAAAGAGTGCACACTACATAGTGTGCCTGTATTACACTTAAGACCTTTACAGAGGAAACGTATTAATGCATTATTTTTTTTGCTTTTTAAAGAGACTGCAATAGAAATATATTAAAGATAGTCTCAGATATCCAACATTCTTCTATATTATATTTTAAACCAAAGCTGTATGAACCTACAGATCTTTATAAAGAACTCTCTTCACAGCACAGCTGTAGTTTACTTTAAACACAAAAATGTTCCCTTGTGCTATATCCTTACAAGTAAACAAAATATACATACAAATGAAAAGTTCAGATTCTGCATCAAGCATTATTCAATCTTGCCTTTTGATATAAATCTGGATACAGTGAAATTTGCAAAGCGTTCACTTAATAGTTTAGTGGAAGCAAACTTAAATGGGTTATGGGTTTTCAGCGAAAGTAACCTTTCTGATCTTCAGCAGTGTCCTTGATACTTGGGAGTTCAGCTGAAGTCCCGACCCGTGAGGATGAGAGGAGCCACAAGGGTCCAGACATAAAGCAGGAGGCATGCCCAACTGGAACCCATCTTGACCCACACAGCTGGCCACTTGCTGGTCATGGTCTGGAAGTTGGCATCAGGGCTAAAAAAAAAAAAAAACAAAAACCAAGAGATTTGGATAAAGAATCGTGGCATTAACATCCTATAGCACCCAACCAAGACCAAGAAACCCCCAGTTAGACTTGGCTAACCCCAGCAGGGTTCTTTATGGGGACCTGGGAAGCTGGTATTTTTAGTTATAATGAGCAAAAAACTCTGCCTCTCAAATGGCATTTTTCTTCTTACCAGCATGAAGACCCTGACTATTCATTGGGCAAGTTCTTCAGGATTATCTGGCTATTCTAATTATTGGCAAAAGTCAAGATTGAAAGTGGGTCTTTTCCGGAGGTGAGTATGAGTAGGATGGGGAAGGACATAAAGGGTGAATATGGTGGAAGTATTTTGTATCCATGTATGAAAGTAGAAGAATTAAGCCTGTTGTAATTGTTCTAAGGGAAGGAGGGGGGAGGAGGGAAAACAATGGAGGGGGTAACACTAAGATACATTGTAAACGCAAATGTAAATACCACAATACATGCCCCTATACAACTATTATGTGTTAATAAAAGAGAAAAAAAAAAACAGTACTGGTAACACTTGAATAATGTCAATAGTGACAAAAAAGTCTAGATTGAAATGGCCTCCTTGAAACTTTCCTGCCGTAGCACATCATCACTGTCAGAAGATTAATTTGACATGATTCTGTAGGCTCAGAAAACAACCTGTGAACCAAGATGGGTTAGATTGCTTTTCTAACCATGTCATGATTTTCACTTTCAAATAATTCAAGTCTAGAAGTGCTCCCAATGATTTGCACTACAGAGAATTCCAACTGTGTTTTAAATGCTGAAGAAGAAAAAGTTCAGTGTTTCTAGTGATGTGTGGTGGCCACACCTGTAATCCCATACTGAGGAAGGAAGATTGTGAATTTGAAGCAAGCCTGGACCACATAGTGAAACCACCTCAAAAAAAAAAAAAGATTTAAAAACAGCACTGAACTCAGCTTCATTTTGAGTAAGAGAAGGGCTCTGTGCTCAACAATGGAAAAGCCTTTACAGACAGTCGGTCCACGGAGCTAAGTGGTCTTCCCACCTGTACCAGTTGGTCATGGTCATCATGATGTACAAGGAAGCAAAGCAGAGCATTAGGTGGAAAAAGGAGTAGCTGTACTGCACTCCCTCTTTTTCATTGTCCACCACCCGCCGAGGCTGTCCATCTTCTTCATCACTGGCTCCATTGGCAGTATCACCCAGGATCACACTGTCGCTCCCTGAGAGGGTCAGCTTGTTCACTTGGCTGTTGCTGGAGTTGCGGAAGCTGCAACGTGATCCCAAAGAAACAAATTAGAAGGGCCATTTTAGACAAACTGCTGCCTTTGGCCTGCATACGTGAAGGTTATTTCTGAGCTGCTCCCACTTTGGACACTGAAGGCCCTGTTTGAAGTTCTGACCTGCGGCCTGTTATTACAGGGCAGACAATGCTCACACCAGTTACTCCTCAGCTTGATTCCCAAAGCACACTATGCCCACACTGTCTGCTTACATTACTTCACAAGTGCTTCTTCTACGCTTGGAATGTACCACCCACCTAACCTCTTTCCCAGCTGACTCATCCCTCACTTCTCTGACTCAGTGCCATGGCCTCCAGAAAGCCTGCCTGACACCACCCATCCCTAGGCTGGGTTAGAAGCCTCTCCCACTTCCACATCTCCCTAGGTGTCCTTCTGCCCAGCACTTACCACTCCCACCTTACTGCTTTTCAAAGAACTTCTTAAAAATAGCCATAGGCATCTCTCATCTCTAGCACTGCAGATGCTCACTACAAGCATGCTGAATACACAAATGCACAGGAATAAAGGACAAAAACTACAATCGTTTTAATAGAGAAAAAGCATCTGACAAAATGTAATACCTTTTTCAGATACATACTCAACTCCAGAACCACAAAAAAATAAAACACTTAAAGAATACAGAATTTTTCCAACTGATAAAATAGATTAATGAAAAAAAAAATCACAGCTAACATTGTATTTAACATTCCAAGACTAAAAAACGCTTTCCCCTTAAAACCAGGAACACGGTAAGGCAGACAGACAAGCGGTCTACTACTGACTTACACCACCAATCCTAACATTTTTTTTTCTAACAAGATAACCAACCCAATTTTGAAACCCACCATTCTAGCTCCTCTAAGGTCAAGGGAAGATTTCATCTCCTATGTAAAGGAGAAGGTATCACTGTAAGAAAAACGGGAAGGAATCATTTGATGGGAGGATTTTGTTAATTTAAAAGATATACACATCTGGGTAGCTGAGGTTATTAAGTAAAGGACTTTTCATTAAAAACAGCTCAGATGAAAGGGCTGGCAGAGTGGCTCAAGTGGTAGAGTGCCTGCCTAGCAAAGGTGAGGCATGGAGTTCAAGCCAAAAAAAAAGCATAATTGTTTTAATTCCTCATCCTGGTTTTGAAAGCAAAATAATTTCTTCACTGTTATTACCAACTTTCACAAGAATAGTACAAAACACCTTTAAACTTACCTAGAATACATAAGGCAGATAAAAAAGACCAAAAGTCCCAAAAAACTCTCTGCATCCATAAAGTGCCCATTCACTGATGGTGGAGCAGAGGTGGGGACTACAGCAGTTGAATTTGCTGGAATCAGGGTTGGTGCAGTTATGTGTGTAATGATGCCCATCAAGTTGGGGTTGCAGGAACGATCTGAAAATGAGAAGCTTTTTATTGTCCTTAGTTACACCTTATCTTACTCCAAGAAAGAATCTGAGGGGTTGCCTACACACCATTCAGTGGTGATGGGAAATAGGAAAATGTCATACTTAAGAGATGGAAAACTCATCAGTCAGTAATGTGTGTGTTGCAGCCTGCAATTTGCTTTAAGCAAAAGAGAGCAACAGTATCTGTCAAATTTCATACATGTCAATCCTGATTACTCTGGTTTTGTAGTTTAACTGACAGATCTTTTTTAGTTCTACTGTGCCAATGCTTTGTACAGAAGTCATTCCTAGTTTTGTTTTTAACTTAGTTATTTAATATAATAAAAATTATCACTGGGGAGGGAGTCCTGCAATAACTGTTTGACCTTTTTGAGTTTACAGGATATCGTATTTAGAAATAATCCTGTAATAGCTGTAAAAGAAGATTCCCTGCTCTGCAAGAGAATTTTACAGGGTAAAATTCAATTAAATGACTTAAAAAAAAAAAAGGCCAAAACAAGGTTGCCCTAAGTCCAGAACCCTTAACTAGTGTGATTGAGTTCAGATTAAATAAAGCCTAGATTATCTAAGGGACTGCAGACCTTCAGGCTGCCAGCTATGAATGCATATGGGGACTAAAACATAAAAGGTAAGTTTCTGCAAACCTACAGTGAATGCTGTACATTTACATGTAATCTTCTGTTTGTTCCTCTGACATTTGCTCTAGCTCTAGTTTTTGCACCTACCAAAGGAGTGTTTTCCTACTTTCATCAAATGAGTTATTGAGAGTGCCTTACCAGGTTCGTTGGTCATGGCTGACCACGTGAGGTAGATGGTGTAGAGAGTGATGACAGAGGATTGCAGGAGGCCAGACCGAGGCTGGTGTTCCTATGGAATCAAAAGGAAAACAATGCCAGATGGATTGCAAGAGCTGACTTTATAAAAACCTATGTATTTTCCTGGGATTCACTGAATCATTAACTGAGAACCTTCTGATTCTGCTTGCCAGTTGAAAGATGACAAGTAACCCTTCAGTATGAGTTAACTTACAAAAGAATTAACAAAGACAAAGCACTTACTACTGGCTCTCAAGGCATTTCATAATCCCGAAATTCTGCAGCACAAAGGCTTTGGTTTTCTAGTCCCATGGTGTACAGCAAAAGTCTACACTCAGCTCTTCCGCTGAGTAGCCAGGTGACCCACCACTCGTTTGAGACTTCAGTTTTCTGAGACGGGGTCTCATTATGTCGCCCAGGCTGCTTCAAACTCCAGGACTCAAGGGACTCTCATGCCTCAGACTTGTAAGTACTTGGGACGATAGGCATGCTTGTCACACCTGGCTAGTTTTCTTAATCCTTTTTTGGGGGGCAGTGCTGGGGCTTAAACTCAGGACCTCACGCTTGCTAGGCAGGTGCTCTATCACTTGAGCATACTGGGTTTCCCGAGGCAGAGAACTGCAAACTATTTGCCTCGGGCTGACTTCGAATTGTGATCCTCCTGATCTCTGCCTTCTGTGTAGCTAGGATTACAGGCATGAGACTCCGGTGCCTGGTGTTTTCTCACTCTTAGGCTACTTTGTTCACTTTGAAAAGGAAAGGTGAGGTCTACATGTTCTTTCCAGTATCTAAAACTTCATGGAATGTTAACACATTGTATTTTCTGAGGGTGGGTGGGGTTCCTGGGGATTGAATTCAGGGATTTGTGCATGTTAGACATGCATAATACCACTAAGCTACACTCCTCGTCCTGAATAGTATTTTAAAGAGGAAACTTGAGAGCAGTTTTGTTTTTAAATATTAAAATCAGGGCCAGGTATGGCAGCTCATGCCTGTAATCCCCAGAGGGATTGGGAGGATTGCGGTTCAATGCCGGCCTGGGCAAAAGTTTAAGAGAGCCCTCTCACTCAATAAGATGAATGTGGTGGACCATACCTATGATCCCAGCTATACGAGAGGCTGTGGGTAGGAGGACTGAGGTCCAGGCTGGCCCAGCCAAAACAATGAGACCCTACCTAAAAAATAGCTAAAGTAAAAAGGGATGATGGGGACAGGGCTCAAGTGGTAGAGCACCTGCCTAGCAAGTGCAAGGCCCCAAATTCAAACCCCAGTACTGAGAAAAAAAATTAAAATCAATTGTTCTTTCTAGTTTAACCCTTAAAATACCATGGCTAATGACTTCATAAAAACCATTCTTGAAATGCTTTTACAAGAACTCTAAATTCTCCAGTTACCTAGGGTTTTAGTTTTGGTTTTGTGGTACCGGGGTTTGAACTCAGAGCTTAATGCTTGCTAGGCAGGTGCTCTACCTCTTAAGCCACATCTCCAGCCCTACCTAGCTTTTTTAATGACAAGGAAAACAATTTAATTATGATACAGGTACTCAATAGCAAAGTATATGATTACTAAGTTATAATTATGAAAACATTACTATAATATGGAAAATTATTTAAGTGGGGAAACTTAAATTCAATAAAAGGTTACCCATGTTTTTAAGTTTAGCATAAAAAAAAAAAAAAAGAAATCTTTCATGGGACAAAGAAGCAGGAAACAACCATACCTGAATTTTTGGGTGGATAGATATGATAGAAACCACAAGGCAAAGAATCAAGTTAATACTGATGAAGAACTTGTTTTCTGTGCAGCTATCTGGTTTGGTGTAGAATTTGTACAGCAGTCCCACGGCAATGATTGCGACGGCATAAAAGAAGCTTGTAACAGAGAGTAAAGCTGAAAAAAAAAAGAGAAACCAAGATGAATCCCCACAATTCTAACGAACTTCTATAATGAAGACCTAACACTATATAAAAGCAAAAAGGCATTAACTTAACTCATTCTTATGCTGGCCAGTAATTTACAGCAAAATTTCAGAAGCCAAATTCCAAAGTCCACCAAGCAACTGAATTTACAACCTGGATTACCTGTCTTGGTTTTATGGATTGGATGACCATATATTTGTTCATTCTAGCTCAACTAAAATGTTAACTACTTGCAACCTCAATAATTCCTGAGTCCTCAAAATAACACAGGTTCAGACCTAGGCATGGTGGTGAACACCTGTAATCTCAGCACTCAGGAGGCTGAGGCAAAAGGACCGTGAGCTGCAGGCCAGCCTGGAATATGTAGACTGTATCAGACACACACACAAAAAAAAGCATAAAAAGGCATCTTTTTGAGACACTACTTCTGCAGCTGCTGCCTACCTACCTAAACCTGCTTCTCAACACAAAAAAAGAGAGACTACCTCACTGGGCTGGGAAAGTGGCTCGTCTGCTATTTTGTAGTATCTTCAGAAATGTCTCTTTCCATTTACATGGATAGCTGGGCTTGGTGACACACAACTGTTATCCCAACACATGGGAGGCTAAGGACAGGAGAATCATGGGTTTAAGGCCAGCCTGGGCTTACAAAGAGAAAAACCTGTCTCAAAAAACAAAACAAAACCAAATGACAAAATTCACATGGATAATCAACAATTGGCTCTGTAACTCTGAATTTAAAAAAACATGAACCAGCATATAATATACTAAGTAAAACTTGTTTTTCAAGGTACAGACTTACTTAAGAAAATGTTCTACCTATCTCAATGGATTTCCGTGTTTAAAATTAAACGTGACAGAACATCTGCCTAGCATGTACAAGGCACTGGGCTGAACCCCCAGCATTGCCAAAAACTTTAATCAAATTTTCTACTGCAAGCTACTAGTACAGTTCTTAATGTTTTTCCATCTGCATATTCAAGATTTCTCTTACACAACTCATTAAATATTAAATTCTTCTAGAGTGGTGTAACCCAAACTGGTTTGGTTTATTTTTTTTCCTGAAGACAATCTTGCTATGTAGACCAGGCTGACCCAAACTTGTGATCCTCCTGCCTAGTCTCCAAGTGCTAGGTATGTACCACCAAAACTAGACCAAAATGTATTTTTTAAACTTAAAATAAAAGAAACTAGAGAAAACACAGTAATAAACAGGTAAAAACAAAATTTTTTTTAGTCTGAAAAAAAGTAAAAGGGGAGTTTAGGGATTCCCAGCTCAAAGTGTGTAATACATTAAAAAGGAAGCATATTACACCTATTTTTAAAATATGATTTGGCCTTGCCTTTTTTAATACACGAAAGACACATAAATACATTGAAAAAATGGAAGAAAACAGACTAGTATGTTAACAATGAGTAGTAATTATTAGATAGATGGGACTATGGGGGAATGCTTTCTTTTTTGGTGCTGGGGATTGAACCCAGGGCCTTGCACAGGCCAGGCCCTGTTTTCTTTTGTGATTTTCTGTTTTCCAAGTTCTTGACAGAGAGCATCTATTACTTATAATGGGGGAGGGGCCAGAGATGAAGAATCTCAAGGCTGCCAGGCACCAGTGGCTCACGCCTGTAATCCTAGCTACTCAAGAGACAGAGAGCAGGAGGATTTCGGTTCGAAGCCAGCGGTGGCAAATAAATTTGCAAGACCCGATCTCGAAAGTACCTAACACAAAAGGGCTGGTGGAGTGGCTCAAGGTGTAGGCCCTGAGTTCAAGCCACACTAAAGCAAAAAAAAGAATCTTACTCATTCATTCATCCATTCTTTCACCAGGCTGGCCTGGAACTCACAGTGTAGAGTCCAGGCTGGCCTCATACTCCAAATTCTCCTTCCTTAGCCTCCTGAGTGCTGGCATGTGCTATCACATGCCTGGCTCTCAACTGTTACTTTGTACCTGGTTGGGCTGTTGTCCCTAATGAGTAGAGGGCTCCACAGTCCCTCCCCATCATTGAAAGATGTAAGTCCTATCTCAACCTAGAAATTTGAAGCATCCTTTTCCCTCTAGAAAGGTTTTACAAAAGGTGTGGAGTCACACTCTCATTAAAGCAATAAAGACTGCATCCTCATCTGCCTGAAATTTGTGGGTAGCTGTCCCACATGTAAAACCTACCTGAGTTCCCTGTCCATGGAAACAAGGTTATCAAAACCAGAATTATGCTGCCACGTGTAACTACTTTCCCTCATCTAAACATGGGTACTTACATTTCAAATCTCAAAATAAATTGGGAGAATCCAGTGACTTAAAATATCTGCTACTCTCTTCCAATAATGCATAGAATTCATTAACTTACTCAACTGGGAATTTTTTTTTTTTTTTTTTTTGAGATGGGGCAACTATTTGCCTGGGCTGGCCTCAAACCATGATCCTCCAGATCTCAGCTTCCCAGGAAGCTAGGAATATAGCTGTGAGCCAATGGTTCCCACTCCAGACTTACAGGGCTTTTTTTTGTTTGTTTGTTTGTTTTTAAAAGCAGCTCTCTATTGGGAATTTATATAGTTAAATCACTGGTGATTTCATTGTACACCCTACTTAATATATGGCTCTCAGAAGTGAGTTTAGATACTTACCAGCATACCAGACCCTTGGGTTTCCTTCTTCCATGTGATTTACCCATAATTCATTCCAAGAATGAGCAAAGTCTACTAACAGCACCAGCTGAATGAGGATGAACAAAGCGGCCCCTGTCATGCCAACACCAAACCAGACTGCAAACCAAGAGAGCAGTTATTCTTTACCACAGGAGCAACATTTCAGATTACAGCTCAACAATCTGAACAGATTTCAAGTGAGAGCCAGTAAAGACATTCTGTCTCCAGTAGTACAACAGACTACTACAAGTCTAAAATCAAGGCATTCTCTGAGAAGTGTCCTTTCAGGTTTCAGACCTTTCTAAGGGAGCCAGGAAGCAACATTCCAAATGGTTCATAAACTTTTTCCTTACTTGGGGGTGGGGAACAGAGATAACCGGGGAATTTCTCAGTGCCACCTGATGTCATGTTAAGAAAGCAAGTTAAACAGGATCATAAAACTTGTAAGACCTTGTGTTGTCAAACTTTCTGATTAGCTTAGTTTTGCCAAGTAAGAAAATAAACTATTAAAAACACTAGCAGAAGATTAAGAAATGGCTAGTGGAGTGGCTCAAACAGTAGAGAGCCTGCTTAGCAAAATTAGGCCCTGAGTTCAATTCCCAGTACCCTGGGAAAAAAAAAAGATTCACAAAAGTTTTTAACAGGAACTGCAAAAGGGAAAAACTTTTTGTACAGCCAGCTTGCCTGCTGGCCGGTTTACTCTGCTTGTTGATTTAAACCGACATTCTTTCCCTCTTTGCCTAAATGCTACAGAATCCAAGATTAACTCCCTTTGTTCTCTAATTAGTCTAGGCGGCTCTCTACCTCTCATCTCTTTCTGACCACAAGAGCAGTAAACCTGCCAGCCAAGACATACAGCTTCAGAAAAGTGGTGCTGGACACCTGCAGAATCAAGGCCAGTAGTCATGGTGAACATGCATCTGGTCATGCAGTCAAACTGAGCCCCTGAACTCCCCTTTAAAAGGCGACATTAATCTTTCACAAGTGGGATGACAGAGCTTTAAAGAGGTTCACTCTCCCTGTCCTCTTTGATAAATAACAAACCTTATTTCCTTCTCAAAACTCTGCTCTCATTATTTGTAAATGGTTAATGGCACTGGGGCCAAGGGACTGGTTTTCTGATAACAAGATGAGAAATGAGCCGAATGCCTTATGGCTTTAAATCACAATCATAATATTAACAGTAAGTCATAAATGGACACTGTATCTCATTTAATGGCCAATTCCACAAAAGCCACTGATGGAAATGTTCCGAAGCCAGTCAGTCACCTGTAGAGCTTGTATGTACTAACCCCACAGAAGTGAGCCATACCTGAGGTGAAGGGGCCCCCTGGGATGTAGAAAGATCCAACCATTATGCCAACAATGGCAGCAATTTTGAAGAACCAAAACCTATGAAAATATAAAAATGCACTTATGAAGTACAGACTTTCATCCTTATAATGAGAAAAATGAACTTGTGAATGTAAAAATAGTCTTAACAGTCTTTCCGACATGACTGTCTAGGCTCGTTTCTTCATCTGGCATAAGGCTACTTCATTCAATATTTCACACAAAGTACATTAGCATAGAAAATAAGTCATTCACATTCATGAGAGAAACGTATACATTTAAGACTCTCCCTACTTTTAGGACTTAAAGGTAAAGACTTTTCTAGAATTATGAGGAATTTAATAGTGTTAACTATACAAAGAACTACTAACTATCATACTTTTGAGAAAAATTATCACCAAATCCTCCATTTATAACCCAGGACAGAAATACCTTGCCCATAATAACACAGTTCATTACTGGCAAAGCCAGGACCAAAAATGACTCTGAGTCCATAGTCTTTTGCAACTATCCTGCGTGACAGACGCAAACTATCAGGCTTTAGAAATGGACAGGACCCTAAGCTTCAATTCTAGCTCCAACCCTCCCTCGCTGAAAGACCTCAGGCAACATATATAACTTTCTCAAATGCAATTACTGCATCTATATAACCAGGGGGTGATAATACATACAAAGGTTACAAAACTTCCTTTAGTTTTTAAATGAGAAATATTTGTAAAGGGGTCACAAGTGGTCCGGAGTAGGAAGCAACTGAACATGCAAATGAGCAGTGTGTGTGTGTTTATCTTTTTTGTGTGTTGTTTCAATATATTAGGTGCACAATAATAACGCAGGCACTTGAAGGAAAAGCATTTAAAAAAAAAAACCAAGACAATTCCCATTCCCTCCACACATTTACAGGGCTCCAAATTATAATGAAACAATTTTACTTCTATTAGTTCTTCTAACAGCCAGAACTACAGCTGGGCCACTGATTTACATCCTCCATCGCTTCCATTCCTTCCATTCCATTAACTGCTGAAGGAAACCACACCATAACATCACAAGTTAATAATCAGTCTTACGTACCCATTGTGTATTGCTGCTCTGGGATCTTTACTTGTTTTGATTTTTAACATGAGCAAAGAGAAGACAAAGAAAAAGATAGCCAAGGCAAAGCTGATCCGATAGACAGCTTTATAACCAACCAGCACATCGCAGTCTTTACCCGCCTTTATATCTGCTACCTTGACTTGAAATTCCCCTTCACAGAATCCAGGAATCTGCAGAGAAAAAAGCAATTTCAATGCTATGGGAATACTCATATTATTTTATCCCACTGTAGGAAAGCCTAGATTTATAAAACTGACCACTTTACTTTTTTTATTTCTTTTTTTTTTGGTGGTACTGGGGTTTGAACTCAGGGCCTCATACTTGCTATTTAAGTGCTTTATCATTTGAGCCACTCCACCAGCCCCAAACTGACCACTTCAGCAACCACAAGTCTCTCTGACTTCCAATTAACTAGTAATCATGTTCCCAAACAGTGTAAGTAACTTGGATTCAAGAAATAAAAATGAGCTTTAGGGTTATACCTATAATCCCAGTACCTGGGAAACTGAGGCAGGAGGACTGCAAATTCCACTTCGGACTACATAGTAAGTTCGAGGCTAGTCATGGAAACTCAGAAAAACCTTGTCTCGAGGCAATAAAAAGAGTTAGGAGTATAGCTCAATGGCAGAGTACCTGCATATTATGGGAGAGGTCCTGGGTTCAATCCTCAGTGGTGCCCCTCCCCCTTTGCAAGACAGTGCGCTTTTCTAATCTAGTGACTTTCTCATCTGATTTTCCAACTATAACAGACTCCTTGCGAAGGCAAGGAGCTAGTCTAGCTTAAAGCTTAAACTTACAAGGCAAGGAAATGTAGTGGGGTCACTTTTAAGTTGTTTTCTATGGGTTGTTAGGCTATAGCCTGACTACCTTTATGGAAATGGAATAATATCTCATATTCTATCTTAGCCACACCCCAAAATAATTTAAGGCAGGCATGATGGTGCACAACTGTAATCCCAGCACTTGGAGGTGAAGGCAAGAGGATCATGAGTTTGAGGCTATTGTGGGCTACACAGCAAACCCTGTCTCAAAAACCTAAAATAATAAGGATGGTAATAGTAATAATAAACCCAAAATTGCAATGATTTTGATTGATGGTAATAGTAAGAATGATTACAACCAAAATATCACAAAAGATACAAGTAGTAAAAATTGCCAGTACATTAAGAGTGCTGACACTCTGCTTACCTTCTTCAGTTCATTCTCTATCCTTTCTGTCCGCATGATAACGGATACAACAGTGCCCAGGAGGAGAATAAAAGCATAGATCAATCGAGTCACAACGGAATTCTTACTGTTGGGACAGCAACTGCACAGCAAGCAGGATGCACCACTACAAAGGCATGGAACCTGTCATAAGAACATCACGGGTCAGTTGAGTGTGGTGACTCACACTTGTAATCCTAGACTTGGGAGACAGAGATTGGGAGGATCGTGGGTCCAGGCTGGCCCATGCATAAAGCAAAACCCTCTCTCAAAACTAATCAAAACAAAAACAGCTGGAGATGTACTCAAGTGGTACAGCATTGCCTGGGCAAGCGGGAGGCCCTGACTTCAACCCACTGGTATGGGGAGGAAAAGAGGGGAGGGGACCAAACCAAACCATGGGTCATTTGAGATCTCTTCATTACAAAGATGTTGCAGAGTAGAGGATGCAGCAAACCAGGGTATGACCATTTTAAATGAATTACATGGTTTACAGGCATGGGCTTCCCAGACCTGGTGGCACACACCTGGAATCCCAGCACCCAGGAGGAGGCAGAAGGATCATGAGTTCAAGACCAGCCTCACGTACAAGACCAGCAGATGTAAATAATGTACAACTGTGGTCTTAAAACTCCCTCCCAATAATAAGCTTTATTTTTCACAGAAAGTACCTTGTCCACACAAGGGTTTTTACCTTCACCAAGCTTTTTATGGTTCGGAGCAAGCTGCTAACCTTATCATTTGTAAAATGAACCTAATACCACCTTCCTGAACAAGGTTATTATGTGAAGAATGACACGGTATCAGGTATATAAAACACACAGCATAAGGCTTGACTTAGAAAGGTCTCAATGTCATTAGTTGTTATTACTTGTAATTGTAACAAGAAGAAGAAACAGACCAGTCAGTCTATGTTTAAAAGTTCAAAATCTATAAATGGTAATAGAAATTTGGATGTCTTGAAGCCAAAATCAGTTTTATTTTTTCTTCATTCTCACAGACTTGTCTCATTTTAGCAAATTTTTGCCTGAACAATTCAAACAATTTAGTAGCAATTGCCTACTATTTGCTATGAACTGAACTGTGTTTCCCCCAAAATTTGTATGTTGGATTCCTAATCCCCAGTACCTCAGATTGTGACCTTATTTGGAAATAGGGTCACTACAGGTATAGTTAGATGAGATTATAGTAAAGCAGTGTGGGCAGGAGATTCAATGTGACTAGTGTCATAAAAAGGAGAAATTTGGACACTGTTTTACAATACAGGGACAGCCATATGAAGACAGATCTACAAACCACAGAATGTTAAAGACTACCAGCAAACCCACCAGAAGATAGGAAAGATTCTTCCCTCACTAACCTCAGAAGGAGTTTAGTGCCACCTTAATCTCAGACTTACAGTCTCCATAACTGAGACAATAAATTGCTGTAGTTAGCCAGGTGCTGGTGGCTAATGCCTGTAACCCTAGCTTCTTGGGAGGCTGAGCTCAGGAGGACTGCAATTCGAGGCCAGCCTGGACAAAGAGCATGTGAGACCCCTACCTCCAAAATAACCAGAGCAAAACAGACTAGAGGTGTGGCTCAAGTGGTAGAGCACCTGCTTTGCAAACAGCAGCCCTGAGTTCAAAAACCAGTCCCACAAACATAAATAAATAGCTGCTGTTTGCCACCCAATCTGTGGTATTGTTGTTAGAGTCCTAGCAAACTAAGACACCTCCTTACTAATCTACAACTGTCATGAGAGTGTAAATACCTTGGGGAGGGGGTGAAGGAAAGACCTTTAGTGTAGTATCTTTTCTACTTTCTTGTAGTAAGAAATCAGTGAATATCTGCACAACAAACCTGCCCTATTATGTATTATGTCATTTCCCTATTTCACTAAAGGACAGCTTAAGCCAAAAACCTGGCATCATCCTGGATGCCTTCCCTTTTTCCAAACTCCTCATCAAAATCTGTTAGCACATCAATTTGATCCTCAAAATATGTCCAGGATCTGATCCCTTTCATGGCACCTTTAACTCTGACTTTGGTCCAAGCCACTACTATGACTCTCATCTGGATTAAATGCAAAAGCTCCTGTCTCACTGCTGTAGTGAATCATTTGCAACCCCTAAAATGGAAGACTATTTTAAACTGAACATTTGAAATTCAAGAGATGCTGGGGATGAGTTTTTGGTCTAGCGGTGTAGCTCAGTAGAAGAGCACCTGCCTAGCATATACCATGCCCTGTCTAAGAGCCTAGGTTAGATTCCTAACACTGCAAAATGAAAAAGCCTTCTCAGAAGTTTCCCTCACCTAACAGCAGTCACTTCTGAGACATGGGCTGCCATAAATTCCCTTTCCAGGGGAGCTTAAAACTCCTCGTGAAGGCTGAGTATGGATCAAGTGGTAGAACACCTGCCTAGCAAGTGCGAGGCCCTGAGTTCAAACTCCAAAACACAAAACAATACAAAACAAAACTTCCCATGAAGAACTCTCATGTCTGGGCAAGCACTATCACAAATCTTATCTTCCATTTATTCTCCTAAAACCTTGTTTGTCCTTACAACAGAAGCTTCTGTCTGCTCCCCCCTTTCCGCTACTAAGTCAGGGATATAAGCCACAAATTCTAATTACCCTTTGAGTTATTTGTCACCAAGCACTTCTGTGTGTGTATGTCTTGCACACATAAACTCTTTTAGAAAAAAAATTTAAAACAACCCAGACATGGTGGTGCACATGTGTAATCCCAGCACTTAAGAGGCTGAAGCAGGAGCATCTCAACTTCATGACCAGCCTGGGCTACACAACTAGATGGGTCACCGTTTCAAAACAAAACAACAACAAAAAACCCCCACAAAAGTCTTTAACAACCCATTAGACCAGGCTGGGGTATAGCTCAGTGCCAGCATAAGCGACCTTGGTTTAATTCGCAACACCAAAAAGATAAAACTGAAAACATGTCCATTGCTTCTCAGCCTTTTGGATCGGATCAAGTACCGTATCTGCTCTTGCCAGTGTAGTATGTGACATGTTCTCTATCTGAGGACGATATATTGCATGCATTTTTGGAGTAGGAGGTAAGACTAGGAGCTGGCTCCATCTACACCATGCACTGACCTGGTATTACAGTATCTCCAGGTATGGCACACGATACGGACAGACAGACAGACATCTTATAAGATCATATAATGGATATCTGCACAATTTGGCTTCTTGTTACCTTTGTGTGTGTGTGCGTGCATGTAGCAGTGCTGGAGATTAGAGATGGAACCCAGGACCTCTAGCACCACAGGCAAGCGCTTTCTCTACTACTATTCTCACTCACTCCACTCTCTGGTATACTAAACTCCTTGCTGTTCCTCCTGAATAAAAGGATTAACAAAATGCAAAAATGATTTGTAGATACAGATGCCTGGGTAGCATCAATTCAAATCTTAAATTCTAAACCAAAGCCAAAATATTCTGTCCCTAAGAAATAGTAGTGAAATGTGCCGAGATTTAATCCTTGATCAATTACACCCCGCTGGGAAATTAGGAAATAATAAATGATTTCAAAGAACCTCGATTCTCTTGAAACAAGTTTGTGAGAAAATTCAACGTATTCTTCTCCAGACCCCAGAGTTTTCTTTGTACGAAGTGATTCCTTTCATTTATTTACTTATCTTCACAACAGCTCTCCCGGGAAACAATAAGGTGTTTATCCTCACAGATAAGTGACATGGAGAGGTCACAAAATGTTGAATAATAAGCTACAGACTGTTCCTTGCATCAGAGCTGCAGCAGAACTCAAGTCAAAAAATCCTAGTTCTGCCACATACTCCCAAGCTACGGAACAAGATTATTCAAGCCTCCCAAAACTAAATGACGCCACCTTCAGAACGGCTTCAAAACGAACCAAAGAGCCCCCGCCTAGGGAGCTCTCATTCCTTGATCCTCCTCCAGCTCCAAAGCTACCCAGAGTCCGGAAGGTTTGCGGGGGCGGGGCAACCGCAATGGTAAACAATGGCGGTTTGACCTCGCACATTCCTCCACTAACACCGAAGGCGCGTCGAGACGCCACGCCCTGACCTGAGGATGTCGCAGACTGGGGCCTGGACCGTCTCCCCCCGACCCCCCCCACAAAAAAACAAAAAAAACCTCGCGGCCCCGGCCTACCCACTTCTCCCAGCGGCCTCTGGGATCGAGGCCCGTTCGGGTCGGGTCGGTTCTTGGAGCTCCCTAATGCCCTGCCCCAAATCGAAGGTTTGGAGAGGACGCAAGACTCCGAACTCACCCAGCTGGCAAGAGAGAAGACGCCCAGTACAGCCCCCATGGTGACGCCGGTGATGGAAGCAGCCGGCCAGGAGGCTTCTTGCGCTGGCAGTGACTGCCCGCCAAGGCGTCGCCCCAGAAACCCCACGGTTTCCCAGGCCGGAAGTACGGCCCACCCTTCGCAGGATGCGTAGATCGCGTCACTGCGTGACCCCGCCCACCACCCTCCGTCGCAGCTGCCCACGCATAGTCATTGGTTGAGACGGAAGGCGGTGCTACCCAAGAGGGGAAGGCGGGGCTGAGTGTGCCGGCAATGGAGGGGCTGCGAGGACTTGGCTCCTTAACCTCGCGTGAATTGGCTTAGAACTTACGAGTAAAGTGGGGTTGGGGAGTGGGGTCGCACTGGGTCCACCGAGAGACACAGTGTCAACCCAGTGATACTGAAGAAGCTGCGTCTCTTATTAAAGATGCAGCAGCCTGTTTTACCTTGGTTGACTATGAAACTAATTTTGGACTGAAGGCCCAAACTCCTGAGATTCCATATTCCAGTTTAGCTACCCGCCTGTAAACGCCAAATAAAAGAGGCATGGTGAATGCAGAGAAAGGAGATTTATTACATGGCTGGGGACATGTGGTGGGAAGAGGCAGAGTAAGCACTCAGTGCATCTTCAGACATGATGAGCTATAGGTTTAAGTAGACAAAAGAACAGGGGGCAGGGGACAAAGGTATGCATTGTTAAACATTCCCAGTCACAGGTGTGGTTTTGTTAGTCTCCTTGCTGGCAGTCTTGGTCAGGCAAGTGGTCTGGTGGTCTGGTCCAGTTCTGGGAAGTTATCACCTGGAGGGAGTAATCTGGTTCCTGTTTGAGAGGATGTGAATTGTCCTCACTTAGGAGGGTGGCAGCTTCAGCTGGCTCTGGTTCCTTGTCATAAAGATGTTATCAGTTCTGTCCTTTCTGGAATCCAAGGTGATCACAAAGTGACTGTAAAGAGAACAGCTTAAAGCAAAGACATACAAAATGGAGGCAAGGATGCCAAGCTTCTCCTGTTGTGTGCCCAAGTAAGGAGTCAGTGCTTTTCAACAAAAGCAATTTGAATGCCTCTTACAAGTAGATTGTGATGGTGGGGAGATGGAACGTTGAAGGTCCAGAGCCAAAATCACCTTGGGGTTATTTTAAGCTAATGAATAATTAAATGAGACTGGAGTGGCTCAAGTGGTAGAGCACCTGCCTAGCAAGCAGGTAAGCCCTGAGTTCAAACTCCAGTACTTCAAAATTAAATGAATATAATAATAATTAAATGATAACCATTTACTTTAACTTTTGTATATGACCTAACATGCTTGTAGCTAATAGATCAGTGTCTCCAAAGGTATCACTAAGCTTAGCAGATCTTTAGTCTCCACCAAACCTAAAGGTAGGAATGCTGTAATATCTGAAACCTGAAGAAGAAATTTCCCCCTTTGTTGTAACTGATGCTCCCACCAGTGTAATTGGCAAAGGCATTGATTTATGACTGTTTTGTAACTATAAAACATGCAATCTCTTCCACCATGGAACATATCATTCACGACAAATTGAATCCACCTTCTCAGGCCGTGATCATTCACGGAATATAAATGCACTGTGTCATAGTGTGATGAGTATTTAGGAGGTGTATGATAGAATGTTTTTTGATTTTGGTGGTACTGGGATTTAAACTCAGGGTTTCACACTTGCTAGGCAGGAGCTCTACTACTTGAGCCACTATGCCAGCTGAGGGAATATTTTTCCATAAAAGTATATTCAAGGGCTGGGGAAGCATGGAGCTCAGTGCTTGAGTATCTGCTAACATGTGAAAAGCCCTGGATCCCATCTGTTGCACACACACACAAAACTATTTAAGTGCCTACTGCCTGCTATGTAAAGAAGAAGGTAGCTTAGTTGGGGAGTACCCTTGGAAGACTTTTCTGAGGGTTTTATATTCAGTTTGTGAACCAAAGGATGAGTCCAAGTCAGTCAAGAAAAGATGGGCGTTGCTTCTTATGTCAAAAGACAAAATTACAACAATTTAAAGGTCTGAATTGGCTTTGTTTCTGTATCTTGAATAGGGCAACACTTTGTTAAGTATTCTGAGGAAAAGAAACTGGTTTTCTAGACAGAAGAGCTTGAAGAAAGCAGAAACAAATGAAAAGTGTATTTAGGACTGGGGGCATGGCACAAATGGTGGAGGGCCTGCCTAACAAGCCCAAGGCTTTCAATTCAAACCTCAGTATTGAAAAAGAAAAAGTGTATTTAGTGCCTAACAAGTGTTGGGATTAAAGACATATTCCACCATGCCTGGCTCACATCGTCAGTTTAATATCTGTTTTGGGGCCTAGCATGTATGAGGCCCTAGGTTAAATTCCAAAACCACCACACAAACACAAATCAGCCCAATCTTCATATAATCTAAAACTGGGATCTTCAAAAAAAAAAAAGTGCTAAAGATTTATTTGGAGATACGATTTTTAAAAATTAACTTTTATTTTTAAAAAAAAATCACACTCTGTTTTGAAGTGTGTGTTTGCAGTTATTTCTACCAAATGGTGCTAGTTTCCCACTTAAGCAGTGGTATAATTTTTTTTTTCTAAATTTTTGTAAAAAATTGAGCATTCATTTCAAGTAAAAAGTGGAAAAATTACATATATATGTTATGGTAGAATGTTCAGGTCTTTGAAAGGGAAGGAGAAACTGAGGACAAAGGAAACTCCACAAGTTACATAGAAAGAAAGAAGCTACCCTAATCCTAAACTAGCCTGTGTTGTCACTAGGCTACACAGGATTGATTGCTGGTGTTCCTGGAGTCCTAGGCTACAGCCTGACTCTTGGGGGATCCCAACAAATTGGCTTCAGCTATTTGTCCTGTTAACCATGCTGGTGCAGTCTGTGATCAGAAAACTTCCAAATTCTATGTATCCCACTGGAATGAATCCATGGCAGGACATGTGGGTTTAAAGGGAGTTTATTAAAAGTTAGGGAAGAAAAATACAAATGGAAGCATGGGTGCAGCCTAAGTGGAAGCCTGAAGCTGAGAGAGCTTTTAAAACCTACATTAACCTATGGGAAGGGGAGCACAAGGAGATTCCCAGCCAATAATGATTGGGGAGGGGCACAGGTGGTTCCTGGCCAGGTGAGGGTGGTTCCTGAGCCAAGGCATGGTTAATCTAAGATGGAATGTTTTTTCTGAGTCCCAAACTTTCTCTAATTTAGCCTGCCTCAGTCCCAGAAATCAAACGGGAATAGTAGTGATGAGAGGCAGGAAAGTAACTTAATTTTTGGTATGATCATACCAGGAGCTTCTCATAGTCCTATTTTTTGGGAACTGACATGAGCTCTGGGTTTAAATAGAGGAAGACTTGGGGCAGGGTTGGAAGAAGCACATAATTAAACGGTCTTGAGCAAACTAGTCTCCTTGATCATCCAGGTTTTGGTCGCAGTCTTATCCATGTCAAAGAAACTGCCATCGATCTCCATGGCTTGGAGGGTGGGGCAATGGAGATGCCCCACGATGTTTATCTATCAGACCTGTGGTAGAGATGGGGGCAGTTCCGATCGGTGAGATGATTGCTCCTGCTTGGTGAGTGGGGGGTGGGGGGCACAGATTCATCACGGGGTGAACCCAAGGTGACTGCAGGTTTAGAGCAATGACTGGAGACTTTCAGGCGTTGCTCCAGGGGTCTGGAACAGGATGTTGCAAAACCAAAAATACCTTAGTTGCTCTTGTCTTGAAGGCATGTAAGTTAGGTAAATTTAGGGCTAGTCAATCTCTATCACCAGTTTTTAGACAGACACTCCTTAAATGCTCACATGCTTCTTGCAGAGCTCCTTTTCCCCAGAGAAACAGATGAAGGTATAGACACCATCCTTTTCATCCAGCTCTTAGTTGCCTATTGGGCTTCTGCAGACCCAACTAAAGACTGCTTTTTAAAAAAGTGGCCTCTAAGACCGTGTTATGTAGGGTTATCTCTAGGTGTGTAGTTTTGGTCATTTGTGACAGTTGCTCAGCTGTAGGCCTTGCCCAAGTTCAAGGTTTAGCATTCCTAAGTCACTTGCTCCTGGTTGGTTCTGAGTTCACTTTCCTGGCAGCAGCCTAACGTACGCATAGTCCCAGTCTCCTAATGACCCACAACTCTACAGTGAATGTTTTTAATGTAGGTGCTATTAGGGATGGAACTCATGGCCTTGAACGTGAGAGGCAATCACCCTATTACATTTATGAAATATTAAACAATATTGCATAAAATAACACAGTGAAATTGAAGCGTCTTTTCCTTCCTACCCCCCATCTCCTAGACCTCCTTCCAGGAGGTATATGCCAGCAACACGCGCACACACACACACACACACGCACACACACACAAACTCTATCATTCCTCTTTACATGTGGTAACACTCCAAACACGTGGTGTTGTACATTGCTTTCGTTCATTTAACTTATTCATTCAATAAATATTTACCAACCTCTTACTATGTGCCAGGCACTGTTCCCAGTGATGACAAAACAGTAGGGAACAAAACGAAGCACATATCCTTAAAAGAGCTTATGCTAGATCTGAGAGCATGGCTCAAGTGGTAGAGCATCTGCCCAGCAAGCACCAGGCCCTGAGTTCAAACTCCAGTGGTGCCAAAAAAACTCCACCACAACAACCAAAAACAAAATAAAACAAAGCAAAAAAGAGCTTGTGGTCTAGTTAAAAAAAGACAAGCAATAACAAAATATAAACATCAGATATCTACAAGATGCTGACAAGATTAATAAAGAAAAGGAAAGGAGAGAAGAATGCAAAAGCTTGAGGGGGGGATTTACTAATTTAGAGTAGTCAGGCACCTACCTAGCAAGCCTGGGGTCCTGAGTTCAAACTCAGTCCTGCAAAACAAAACAAAACAAAAAAGTAGGCAAATCAGGTCTTTTGGAGTATGAGGCATGGGAGCAGAGACATGAAGGAAGTGAGGAAATAAACCATAGGGACATCTGGAGAAGGAGTGGTTCCAATGCAGAGCAGTAGAGTTAAAGGCCTCAAGATAGAAGCAGGCTTGGGTTAAAACTACAAAGCAAAGGACAGGGGATTTATGTCAGTGGTAGCATGTTCGCTTAGCATATACAAGGCTCTCAGAAAACAAAAACAAAATAAAACGAAAAAAC